CCAAAAGGCTGTTTTTAGGGAGGACACACAGAGGAGGAGGCTGGGTCTTGGCTCTGCTAAGGATGCGTGCCCTGCTCCTCATTCAGCGGCTGTCAGCGCAGACACTTCATAACCGCCCGCCTCCTGCTCCTCCCGCCCTGATGGATTGATGGAGGCACATTAGCACCAGTGGAGCGAGCTGAATGCAATCATATTCAGCATGGGCACGGCTCTAATAGGCTGGAGATTGATCCCGGGGGCAGGGGAGGAGGCGGCGAGCGCTGGGCCCATTAGGAGGCTGTCAGGGCTGGCCGACCTTCAGGCTCACCTTCACACGCGCCGAATGCAACAGGGTCAGCGCAGGGATACACTGGACACAACAGGTGGAAACACATCTCTCTCTCGTCTCAATGCTGCAGGAGGGTCTAAGGACAGTGATGATCCAGGACATTTATGGACAGTGGCCGCTCCCTATGGACCAACAACTACTTTGTGTTTGTTATTATTGAATTTCCTGTCTTCAAATGGTTTGATTCTCATCCGTTTTTGGCAAAGAAACAATTTTGTTAATTTCTCTGAGAAAATGGTTGTGAAGATAAAGATGATGAGATTCTTGTCCCACAATGGGGAAATTTCAGTGTTGCATCACTGGTTACAGGACAGTAGGAGTAAGGAGCACACAACACAAGATAAATTAACAATAAATACAAACTAAAATACAACACAAAAAAAGAACAAACTTTAGCATAATTAAGAAGACAAAAAAATCTTCAACTGAAGGATTGTGAAGTAGGATTATAGAAAAAACATTACAATTTAGCAATATTTTTGCTAAATAAAATGTAATTGGGTGTTGACATTGCTGCTCTTGTGAAACGCACCCAGCCAAGACTTTACCTTATGCATAAGTTAAACTCCTTAGACGTCAGCTCCACTACTGTCTCTCGGTTTTATCAGGCCTTCATTGAGTTCCTTTTGATTGAACTGTGCATATCTGTTTGGAGTTGGACAGAGGGACCTGTCAGCTTTCCCTAACCAGCAAATTGTGAGAAAAGCTTGCAATAAAATGTAGTCAAACTAATCATGTTCTGAATAATGAGATCACTTCCGCTTGACCACATTTTCAAAATTAAACAAATAAATACATGTGTTTTTACGCCCTATTCTGCTCAAATTAAGTATAGATGTATTGAATGAATTGAATATTCTGAATCTGAATCACGATCAATGATTATTCAAATTGAAACACAAAATGAACACACATACAGACATCCAGGACAACAAAAAAGCTATGAAAATGAAAATGAAAGCTCAAGAGAATATGTGTCCAGTGTACAGTTCCAGAGGTCAATGGCACCATACCGTGGTCCATGGACAGCTCCAAATACAGTAAGACAATGCCAATAAAAGTCATATCTCATTTAAGTAATTGAAAAATATACCGACAGTAACAAAACAAAGCCTCCACTGCACATGGTGTGAGTGCGGCAGCAGCCGCGTCAGCACCTCCCCTAATTACTAACATGTCATTGCAGTGCAAGTGTTAAATATTGGCCCTCAGCCTTGAGCTCTGGCGTGTGATGGCGCACAATCAACACGTTAGCAGCGGCCAGGGCCCTGCAGAGCCTCCCCGAGGAGCACTCAGCTTTCAATTACCTCCAATAACAGCACTTATCAGGCCGCCCTGCTCCACGGGGACCGGAGGCCTGACGCCCCGACTCAGCGGCCTGCGACAGGGGCATTCATCACAAGACGGGGCAACAGCTGGGGCCCCGTGGAGAGGCACGCGTCAGGCCCCCGGGGGACCACCACAGGCCAGCGTCACGCAGCCATCATCCCACAGATCAGTCCAAGAGGATCGGATGACGGGACAGCGTTCTACAGGCTTGTAATGTTTCATTGAGATGGGGGAGCAGCTGTGTGACGATTGGTAATCTCTGGTTCTGAGGCTGGTATAAGACTGAAGCATTTAATGGTATTACTCCAAAACAACTATTTTGGGACATACAAAATATTTACTATGAGTAGAGCAACACCTCTAGTGGTAAAAAAGGTAAATTGCCTTTTGTTATTTTTAAACAACCTTTCTACAAGGGCAAAGAGCAAGAGCGCGTTCCAATTCTGAGGGAACTCGAGGGCACTTAAGTGGTTCATCTCTATAACGAGTTTATAGAAAACCTATAGGTCTACGCATCCCTAATTATAATGTGTTTGTTTTATCCCTTGTCTCATTGGCAGATTATGTATGTGATCAGTTTGTTGCCCTGGACCTGAAGGTGAAATGCTCTGAAGAAGGATTTAATGTTGAAACACATAATTGTTGTCTATTCTGTAGCCAAACACAAGAGTATGTGTGTAAAACTGTCTGAACTTTGTCTTTGCAACACAACCCAATAATTTTTATTTTTTTCTTAGCAACAAATAAGCACCACTTTATTACATCAAATGAATCTCCAGCCCTTAACTTGGTCCCATGCTCACTTCATCATATGCAGTGGTTGCTCAGTGTAACGTGGTTCACCTGTCGCTACCTCACTATTTTGTGATTTTTGTGAGTGCAATTTTGCATGTTTTTTTTGTAAAAAGCTTCTCATTTGCCGCGTGTACGTTCCAACATCATATACAAAATATACACAACAACCGGTGTGCTCTGCAGCTGTATTCTAACGTGTATGCACGGCTTTTGACAGATGAAGTAGCGCTTAGACCTACGACAATAAAAGGTTTTATATCTCTGCGATCGCACTTCGGCAGTCGTGAGATCAAGTTTGCGGCGAGGGGTTTTACAGCCTTAAAACATATTGCTAGATTTTTAGGATGTAACCCCCAAACCCCCATGATAAATGAGGGACCACTGCATTACAATATACCAGTTTGTGATTTAAACAGTATGTGTGCGTACAATTATGAGAAAATAAGTGTATGTATCAAACTCTGAAACCATATCCAGTGGTGTGACATTGTGGGGTGTGAGTGTAGCTTTAACTGCGGCACAGAGATGAGTTTTCACTGCTTGATTGTGCCGTGCCCATTAAGCGCCTCTTTAATGGTCAACATGCTGGAGGGGGGAGGAGCAGTAAATCCTGGTCCTCTCCCACCTCTGCAGGGGCCTCCTTTATGGCACACGGGGAACAGTGCACAAACATGATGAAAAAGTAGCTAAGATTTACAAGGCCTCCCGTGACAGCCAGGAAAAGAGGGGAAAATTAAACCTGGGACAGCATATAACAGTCACCCATTACACAGCTCCACCGGCTCTTTTAATAATCGTCATTGTGTCCCACCGACGACGGGACATGACCGGACTGCCAACCAGGACACCCCTCTACATGACGGAGTTAGGACCAGGAACAGAGGTGTCAAACTCATTTTGATCAGGGGCTGAATAATAAAAATAGGAACCTGTCGGGGGCCAAAAGAAAAGAAGGGATTTCCTTTTATTATAATTGTTTTTCATTATGAAGGAGTGAAGGAATTCTAACATTAGGTACTCTAATGTGACATGAGTTCCACTTTTCTTTTCTGGTTATTTTTTCTGAAAACAAAATGTGTTTATTGTTTGGATTGAACCCCCAAAAAAAAAAAATTCTAATAATTGTTGGGTTAAAATATTAGAATAAAACAACATGACTTAACTAGTCCATAACCATTCAAAGTACAGCGTTTGTTTTGGAAACTGTAAACCACGTCACTGGCTTCAGGCCTTTTGTCGAGAATAAGCACATTCCAGAACATATACAAGCATAATTTTTTTCTGTTTTAACTAATAGTAGTCTTATATTGTCCAAGTAAAAAAACAAACACATTTTAAATGATACAATTTCTGGTTTAAAAGACTGCATATTAACTGCATTCATTATAGCTGCAAAGGTCAGATTGAACAACTTCTACCCTCATGTCTATTGACAATGTGTATAACACAAGTATATCAGCTCTGCCTCCAATCTAAAATGTCTCTGAATGCGTAATTTAAATAAACTAACAAATCCATGGAGCTTTCAGAAATGAGGCACAATGTGAACTCTAAGAAAAACAAGGACTGAAAAAGTCAAGTGTACGTTTTGTGAAGCCAAAAAAGCCCAAGAACTTGGGATTTCTCTGTCTCAGGAAAAAGGAGAATTGAAGCAATTAAATCACCATAAAAAGAATAACTTGTTGTGGAAATGACAGCGATTTATGGATTAATACCGTAAAAGTCGCTTAATACCGCACCTAATCATTCCCCCTTTAGGGTCAACAATTTTCATCATAAGAAGTCATATTCAATCGTGCTTAGGTGCTTGCCGTGTTAACACCTGCCTAAAGCCTGTCTGGTAATACATTACTGCATTGTTTCTGGATATCCTCAGATTAACGTTTACCTTAATTATATGATGCAACACATTCAATCTGCCTGTTCATCAGATAAAAAAGAACAAGTCCATACATGGACCAAACAAAAATTGCAGTTTCTCCACACAGAAGGTTATGTACATTTGGAGATCAGTCAAGTAAAGTAGGACAATCCCACAAGTCTGGAAAACGACATTTTCCTCTTAGGGAAATCAGAGCACTTAGCTGTGTCTCGCTAATCCACACTCCACCGGGATTATGACAATGGAGGCAGTGGGGAATGGATTAAAACATAGATTTGGCATCCATCAAATGCTCAGGCTCTCTAGGTGTGTGTCTGTGTTTGATTCTTTCTTTTATGACTGCATTTTCAACACCTCTTACTCATGCAAACAAGTTTATCAATGCTAAGAAATCTCTTCCCGTTATAAATTAGGCAAGAAGAAGTGATCAGCTAAGACACCATCAAGGTGCCACTAATACGAGGCATCAGCCCCATCTTGTGGCGGCCATGATTTACTACAGCAATAGTTGGCTCTTTGTAAATAGATAATTTCAGAACACATTGTACCAGATTTTATTTAATGATTAAATTAATCCAATATGTTTGTTTGGCTCTGTCAGTTTCCAGTGAATTTTTTTTTTTAACAGGCTCACAGACAACTAGATTGTTCATCAATTGTACTTACATTCTTCTAAGCCCAACTGGTAGGCAAGATTCTGCAGACCTTTGACCTTCTCCATCAAATTAGCTGTGGTGAGACTTCCCAGTTCTGGACACATATTAAAAGTTATAAAAAAAGATAGAACAATAGTGGAATGGATTGGAATTTTACCAAAAAAATATATACATTTTAAAAATAATCCACCTTTTAGCATTTCAATGTCCTCATTTTCCAGCTCTGCCATCCACTTTGGCGGTGAATTTGTGAAGGACTAAATGGAACAAAACATGCATCATAGAGACAATACTATGAAATCCCTGTATTACAGAGGAAAAGTTCGCTCACATTTTTACAGGACGCAGCAAATTCCACAACTCCAGGAACTGAAGGAATACATCAAAATCAATATTGGGATAATGAAACACAAATAATGAGAATAAAGAAATAAAGAGAATAGTGAAGCAGAATACTCACGCTGTTCGGGCCACAGATCCGGAGAGGCGCGATCAAGATTCTCAAAACTTAGCAGAGAACCCTCAAAGTCCTCACCTACAAAGACAGAGACAATACATGCTTTTGTGAATCAAGTTTGTATGGTTTTTTGATGAGATATGGGGCATGGCTAGAAATGTCTTGCTAGAATACACCTCTATGTGTTGCCTGACCAGACAGACCCCCTTCACTGACAGACTGCTGTGTGAAGGAGAGGTTCCACAGGACTTTGCTGCTTGTCATGCTTCTGTTGACAAGCATCATTTGAAATTATGTTAGAATGTGCAATATGGGACCACATGTGTCCACTTATTGCTATACAAAGTGCAAAAATTTAACATTCTGTTCTTTATCATGTGGCTCAGAAATATTTTAAAACAGCTCTACTGGTGTACAAGTCTCTACAGGGACTCGCACAAAATCACATTGTGACTCTGGCCACCTGCTGGTGCCCAGAGTCACGACTACTATGATAATGTTCAAATACAGGTCAAAAACGTAAAAGTTCTGTTAAGATAAGATCAACTTTATTGATCTCACAATGGAGAAATTCACAAGCTGTGTCTACAATTGAAGGAAGGATCATAATTTTTAATGTACTGTGACAATTTATGATTGTAACACCTTGTGTGATGGTTTCTATCTTGTTTGTTAATCACTTTGAGCTTTGTGTTTGCACTGTGCTATATACATAAACTCACATTACCTTGCCTTACCTTACCTTGGCACACTCTTTTTAGTCTGTGTGTGCCAGATTGAGTAGTTCAACTTTTTGGCACCTGAGGTGTTTTTTTGCCCAAAACCACAAAAAATTAATTTATGTAATAAAATCCATCAAACCAGTTCTTTCTCAAAACAGTTTTGATCCATCACAAGTTTTTCATTCAGGTAAATGTGGTTTTTGATCTCTTTGTATGTAAAAATACAATACGTTTTCAAATAAGATGAAGACAGAATTTTGTGATCGGATTTGTTCACACAATAATACATATATTCACGCACACACCAGACTCATACTAGACAATGTGGGTGAAGTGTCTTTCCTCAGGACGTGACGACAATTTGGCCATTCACATTCAATTTGGCTACCCCGTTTTGGCATCTTGTGTTTCTAGAGGTCTCCCATCACAGTACTAACCAGGACCTGTCTTGCGTAGCATCAGAGGTTTCATGTATAAAGTTATGGTACCCCAGCTTTACACCATTCAATACTTGTAGTAAGGCAACAGAATGTTTTCACTTTCAGATTCATGTATTGTTATTATACATTGTGTGATGATATTAGCAACTAATATTTATGATGACAACACGTAGAAAGCAAACCCGACTATGGAACACGGCGACTTGTCAACACAATAGCGTTTTAATAAGAGACTGTAAAGAAGTTTTTGGTCTAGTTCTGTCCACGAACTTGACAAAGGGTGAGGTTGCCTGGTCGCCCTGTGCTGTCGACACTGTGGACAAAAACATTGAACCGAGTGGTCGCTTTTTGCCTCCAAAAAGCATAGTTTGGACAGAGTAAAAGGCGACAGTGTGACGTGTGAAGGTACAGAGTGGAACCGAGAAGCGCACGGTGTGTTTGGTGTCATTAAAAACCTAAAAGCAGCCTGTTATCCGCAGTGTAGTAGAGTAAGGAATTAGAATTTACCTCCATTTGGAGACGCCATCTTCACAATAAACACGTGACGTGAAGTGACCAATCAGAGGCGAGATTCCCACTTTGAATGCGTTTACAAGCAACGGCCGCTAGATGGCAGACGCGACAGCGTAAAAGAGAAAGAAATATGGTTCAAAAGTCAAATTAATTCTATAATTAAATTAATTTGATTACGTGCAAATTAAAGCAGCTGTACTAAAGCCTTTCATTATCGAACCAACCAGGACAGCAAAAGAAAGAGTCACTCTTTGCCAGTACACTTTACAGTGTATATAGTGCTCTGGGAAAACTAATGTTGTGATTTAGGGATACGCCATAGACTGTAAATTGGATACACAAAAATAAAATGAAGCACCCCCATATCCGTTTTTATTGATTCTAATACTTGTAACACTTGTATGAAGAATTCCGTGGGCGGGGCACTTTCAAATGAAATGTATCACTATAATATTAATAATAATAAATGTAATACTACCAGTACCACCATTCACTGGATCAGTAATCAAAGCACACCATAATTTCAGACTTGTATTTTTTTGCCTGTCAACTTATGTTATTTGAAATAGTTGTCTATGCTACTGTAACTCCTTAGTATTAGAATCATTTTCAGTACTGCAATATATATTTGTGAGTATATGGAAGCATCAAACAAGTGTGCACTAAGTTCCAATCTATTTATCAACTTATGAGGACTGTTCCAAATCAAGTTAGTGAAAGCGCCACAAAAAAAGATCGAGTGATACCAATGATAACAAAAGAGAAATATGAATAAAATAAAAGAATACATATTTTAATCATTATTATTTCTGCTACACATTCAATCTTCATTACATAACACCATACAACAGTGAGAAACACTTGAAAAAATGGACACAGATTATCAGACTTGGACATGGATTAAAAACACTTTTGTAGTTGTTGACTCATTAAACATTTAAAAACAGTTTCCCTTCTTCACATTGTAGGCACTTCAGATAACTATTGTAGAGTTGTCTTTTAAAATATATCCATATATTTTCCAGCACTCTAATACAATTTTAAGGAAACTAAAACAAAGTCGTACGCTCCTATCTGATCCTTTTCTATTGCACCAATTCTGATTCAAAGTAAACGTTAGACAATGTAGCTAGGATGCAGTAAAGCTGATGCAATACTGTGAGAACTATTATTACTATGGATCAAAAAAGTCCTTCTAAAATTCCCAGGAGTCCATCCACTTGAGGCCAGCCATGAGACTCTTTGGGTGGTGTGCCAGAGGGCCGGTCATGCCATAGGACAGCGGGTGGAACAGGTAGAAACTGACAGAGACGGAGAGTTTTGTGTCGAGTTACTTTTTTTATACATCTCATTTGTGCCAGATTTACTCATGTGCTTACCTGTAAACAATACTGAGCAGAAGGACTACATTCCCAGTGGTCTGAAGCCAGTCTGAATATGGAGTGCGAAAGAAGAGATCTGTGCTTTTGAACCAGATGTCTAAGGTGATTCCTGCAAAGACACAATATACTGTACCGGTTGTATATAATTACATAATAAATACATTTCAATCTCTGTGGGAGCATTCTCAGTTTGGACTAAACTTGGACAAGATCACAACTAAACCAAGGGTGCATTCACACATGGTTCAGTTAAAGTACACTTCATATTTTACTTTGACTCTTGAGTGTCACTGAGGCCCAGACTTCCCTCTCCAAACACTCTTCCTCCAGCTCATCCAAACCCTGTGGCGTTCCCAGATCAGATTAGAGTTTTGTCTTGGGCATTACTCCCGGCAGGCTTCAAAAACCGCACCTCAGCTGGTTTCTCATGATGTGGCGGAACAGTGGCCCTACTCATTCACAATCTCGTCATTACCCAAACCTCTTAAATTATATGTACTTGTAAAAAATATGTGGTATAACTTCTCAAATAAACTACTTCTACTGCTACAACTACTATCCAAACCTCATGATCATCAGTGAGGGTGGGAACATAGACTGATCGGTAAATCTAGAGCTTTGCCTTTGGAGTCCCTCTTCACCACAACAGTCTGATATAGCAAACTGCATCACTACAGAACACACAACTGGAATCACTATCTCAAAAAAAAAATCTAGGTTTAAAGGTGCCATATTACGATTTTGTACTTTTCTCTGCTTTGAACAAGATTACAGAGGCCTTCTACACATGCCAAGAGTAGTTTTTCATTGATTCCCTCAAGCTTTAGTTAGGACGGACTTGAGGAAATGTATGGAGTCTGCTTTGCTCCTGCGCTTGGGCTGATACAAAACCTGCAGTCACAGCGGCTCTTGAGGACAGGTTTGGACACCCCTGTGTTAAATAGTGAATCTTAATCTGACAGTAGCTTCTACAAACAAGGAGTACACAATATCACATAACCTCTTTCTGCAAAATAACACGATTACATTTACCGTTAACATGTCACTAGCCCAATCACTCCATAAAATTAGCATACAATTCCAAGTTACCAGACAGCATGCTGCTAAAGAGCATGGCGGGGAAGTAGTGATGGTAGTAGAGCACGCGGCCCATGGCGTAGAAAGGTAAATAGTGTAGCAGCCAACCCAGCAGCAGCAGCCCCCCTCCTCTTCTGAGCACATGCAGCTGATCTGAAACATCCAATATTAGAAGTGTTTTAATCAAAGATGGAAACTTTCTATTTGAATTTAAGGAGATTATTGTAGTCTGCAAATAAAAGACAAGCTGTGCAGATTATTCTCTTTTTTTTTCATTTACTTTTTTAATCCAGCAGCTAGATTAGGCTGCTAGGACCATGCCCCCTACACCATGAACAAAGTGTCAATAAAATAATTAAAAAATCTATATACAAATGAATCTGTTGATATATCTTTTGAAAACATTTTGCATGGATGTTTTATTACTACTTCTGTTTATATTTCTGCTTGGATATGATACAATTTGATGACATTACAATTAATTCCCAGTTAGTTTTCAATAAAATGACAGATTTTCTAAATTCACCAGCGTAACTTCTCATAGAAATTTACCAGACATTTTCCGGAAATTATAGGGTGTACCTGTTCTCTTGGAGCCCAGTGAAAAGCCTCTTTGTACGGCTACAGAGGACACTGCAGCCATGACGAGATACAGAGCCAGACTGAGCAGGTTAATCCACCAGACCACCTGGGAGACAGTATTTCATTACAACAACTGCTCCAAATACTAAACAAGCTCTTATTGTTATTACACGTACAGGGTTTCCCAGCAAGTACACGCGATAATCCGTGTTGTTCACTCCAGAAAACCGTAGCCCCTACACAAGAAAGTAGTTATAGTTGCACCAGTGGTTCTCAGCTGGTACAGCGTCCGCACAACATCATCTTACAACGATCAGCAGCAAAGAAGACATTTTTGTACCTGTGATTTGATTTGTATTTCGAATGGTGATATTGCAGTTTATGTGATTTTTAGTGCTTTGTGTTATCCTGTGTAGGAAAAGCACTCCACAAATAAAGATTGATTGATTGATGGTATTTTCCACAAATTATTGTTTTATAAGCATTGAATAATACAACCAAACTCAAATGGTGTCTTTGGGTCATTTATTTGTCCTAAAGAAAATGTGACTTCTTTGTTGATGGAAAACTTGCATTGTAGCAGATACAGGTTTTTAAAATGTGTCACGGGAACGACACCACTCAAAACGATCCAGATTTGGGCCCTGACCCACCAGTTGAGAACCACTTTTACAGACAGTTATGAAACAAAAACACATGTGTACGATTGAAGCCATACCTGATAGTTGATCGGCCAGTGCCACGGCTTGGAGTTCATTTCATTGTCTTTGGGCTTTAAACCACTGTTTCCCTTAGAAAAATAAAAATAAATTATATTTTCCAAAGTATCTCAACTGTACCAACACAGATCTGAGAATATTTGTCCAACCCTTAACATGACGATATGCGACTCAATCAGGATCTCCAGAAAATGTGGCTTCAGCACGGAGAGACTGATGTTTGGCACTGACGGTATAAACAGAGAATTAGATTAGCCCTTAATTAACAGCTAATTAGTGAACCCTAACCTTTTACACTGCAACAAATGATCAAATATGAAGTTATAATTGCTTGAATTGAGGCCTTTTTATAAAGTTTTAGCTAAAAAAGTTTTGCCAATGGGACAAAGCCATTTAGTCTTTTTTTCAAGAACTGTTGCTTAATTTTCTTTTTCCAAGGTAGATTTATCTTGCATTTTTTTAAAACAAGATCATGTTGCTTGTTCCATTGGCATATCTTGTTTTAAATAAGTAAAATGTGCTAAAATTAAGATAGACTTTTCCAATTTGTACTTATTGTTCATCTCACATGAGAAAGTGTCTGTTATTCAGATGTTGAATAAGGCCATGTAGAATAAAGACTAATGATAAGTGTTAAATAATTACAAATTAAGTTATGACCCATAAATTCTACACTAAATAGCACTTAATTTGCTGTTAATTAATGAGGGTTCAAGTGTGACCACATAGATTTAGTAAAAATTAAACAAAATAAAGACAGGAAAGTAAGAGAATAAAGTTCTTACGTTTAGGATTGATGTGATCTTCAATATTCCACTGAGAACTGGGAGTCTCTTTCAGATACGGGCTACACGTCACCTCCACCTGCTCCCAGCCCCTGAATAGAAAGAACAGCGTAAATGATTGTATTATTTTTCATATTTACAGCTGAGGTACCTGACTTTGTTTTGTTCATAGACAGCATCTTGTAAAAGCGACAGTTTTAGTGATAAAACCTTGTCACAAAATGTGTTATCTTTTGCATATTTGTAATAAAGATCGCTGTGAGCAGAGACTGTGTATAGTTGGACAATGCAACTATGCTTAAACAATAAGTACAAAACTGTTAAAACAAAAACACAAACAGCAGCAGCAAAATAATATTTTTTTAACATTTCACTATCCAAATATTGTAAATAGAAAATAAAAAACAAATCAACAGTTAAATATAATTCTTCCATGAATAGGGAAAGCTTATTGGCTGAGCTACAAAGATGTGACAGACACTAAGTATGTAAAAAGTAGTGACAGAACCAAACCGTTTTGAGAGCGAGGGACTAGCTTAATATGTAGCGGTTAACCTCTTGTGATTTGAAAGTTAGGTAACCCAGCTTTTAATTGAACAATTGTAATGTACCATTTTGGGAGTGTCCTGCCCGAGGAGTAGAGTACACAGCCCGTGGCCCGATGCAGAAGTCGTATTTTGCTGCGCAGGACTTTGACCAGGTCTCCGGAGCGGCCCCCACACACCTGGATCTGCCACAGGTCGTTGCTGTCCCCACTGCCGTTCTATCACACCATGAGATCTGACCATTTATCAGCTTCACCACAAAAAAAATCTCATTGTAGGAATCATGTTCTTGTTTTGTGCTTTACCACTGTTATTGCTCTTGCGTTTTTCCACCTGTAAAAGTGTTTTACACTGATCCAGATTATTTTGAATTGGCCCAGAAATATTAACTAAAATACTTTCTGGTAACTATTGAGCACAATTATCAGAAACGATTTTTCAGCTGTCCTCCACTACAATGTGAAGCTATATAATCTTTATAATAATGTGATGTCACATGAACTACTACCCATCAAAAAAACTATAATTTTACATGCAATTAAAAAGACTAAAGTTCACAGAATATGCCCAATCTAAAAAAAACATGGACTGGTTTGGACTTGGAGAAGATACAACAGTCTTTGCTTGTTGTCCTGCTTATTTCTCAATAATCATTGTTTCTGGCTCAAGTTTCTTGTATAATCAAGTCTGTAAAGATACAAGCCAGCTCTCAGTAGCAATACACATGTTTAACTTTTTCAGTCTCACAAATATAATACAAAAAAGTTTACCAAGTGATATGAAGGGGCTTAAAGTAGAATTTTGTCAGCAGTAGTTGTATTGCTGTATTGAGCACATGTATTATTGCATTTAAAATAAGACAAAGCCGATGTACAATTTCAAAACGTACCATTCCATAACCTGTAACCTGGAAGTGCTTCTTTGAGAGCGGTGCTTCGTGGAGATGACTGTGCAAACTGCGAGTTGTCCTGTGAATAAATATATAAATAAATAAATGTGTATTTTATTGTCCCCGTAGGAAAATGTGTCCTCTGCATTTGACCCATCCTGATGCCACTAAGGCTTCTATCAGGAGCAGTGGTCGCCGTAGTACAGCACCCGGGAACCCATCTCCAGATGAATAGAGACAATATTCAATTCAATTAAATTTATTTTTGTCTACCCCCAAATCACAACAGTAGTTATCTCGGAGGACTTTTTTTTCCTTCTTTTTTCTAAAGGCAACAGACAAACACATCAACATCCAACATGCATGCAAAAAGAACACCATGTGAAACAAAAACAAAAAAGTACAACCCCAAACAGAACGAACATAACACAACCTGATAAAAAGTATTATTTACCTAAATAATTATTACCTAAATAAAGAAAAATTAGGCAAAAGAACAGTACTTGCTTGACTACTACCTGTGTTTTTTACCAGACTAGAGGCTAATGAGAAACTTTACCAATCCATTAGGGCTGTAGTCGACCAGAGATATTCAAGCCGTGAGGATTGATTATTTCATTCAACTCCATCTATTCTATTTCCTTCGGCTAAATCCATGGTCCTTCTTTGACTTTCCTATCCAGGCCAACAACATTTCACAAATCACAACATGTAAGAGGGAAACAGACACATACTCTTTGTGCTCAAGGCGAACGACATCACCGTGCCGGACCAGGTCTGGGTTTTCGGGACACGCTTTTGGAGAAAACAGGAAAAACAATGATACTTTATGTTTTTTGCTCCGAGATAGGTGAAAAGTTGCAGTTTTCTTACAGTTATTGAAATCATGCTTATGGACCAGCCATAAGTTGTTGTAGTCTTTATGAAGATATGCCGTCACCTGAAAAAACAAAAAATGTGTAATACCTTTCCTCCCTGATGCTGTCAGATTGTACAATGAACACTACTGAACTGGACCACATGTGTCCACTGTCACTTTACCTTTAGCCTCATGCTGCTAACATGCACAGTAATATCATCAGTGAATATTTGAACAACCAGACTCAAAAAGGTTCATTTCTGTCTTGTTTTTATGTGGTTGTTTTGAAAGACAAGTTAGATTACCATTCGGCTGCAGAGCGTGCAAACATTGAACCCAAAGTTTTGTAGATTGTCATTTATACATGCCTTTGATTTTATTCTGTTTTAACTTGTTTGCACCAAGAAAAAAAAAAGGATTCTGATTCTGTCATGTGTGTAGCAACACTGAAATGTCCCCAATGTTCACCCACAAAAAGGATATCTTCATTTGAATAACAATAAATACATAGTAAATAAAACAAGCATATTCTTGGAAAACATTGATTTGGTTTCATTTTCAGAATCTGTAGACTGACCTGTTGCTGGCGTGCGCCCACTCCCTCTGGGTATAAATGCCAGTGAGAATGTAAGTATCCTCCTGCAATGCGAAGGTTTTTGATAGTGATGGTGGAGCCATATGCCAAGTCTATGATAGGGAGAAAAGAATTATTATCACAGGAGATGAAGACTTTTGGTTTGAAAGGAGACGTTCACAAAATTTCTGATAAAAGATCCACACTTGGTCTATCGGGCTGCAATCTCCAGTCTTTCTTACTTTGTGTTGGTTTAGTTGAAGTTTGTACTCTTTTTTTTGTTTAATCAAAAGCAAAAGACTAGTTATGAAGTAAGAGTAAGTAATGTAATGTAATGTGTAAGAGACCTTAGTATGACAGTAAGGCCTAAAAGCAGTTGGCGTATGTCATAGATTGCGGTGGTCAAAGGAACAGGGGGGCAATGGAGAAAATAAATGACGTCAAACTAAATGAATGACCCTAATCACAATACAACATGGTATAAAGCGTCAATAAGAAAAGCAGTATTCACATTCTGGCATCGATGCATTGTGCAGATTGTTTCCGATGAGACGAGACTGAAAAGCTGAGCTGAAGAAACCGTCTCCGGGTCCACTGGGGGAAGAGTTCAGACACACACTTTCTGTTTCTGTTCGACTTATAGACAATAACTACCTTTTACCTTTTATTCAAAACAACAAAGTGAACGGCAAATATTGTAACGTAAAGAAAAAGAGGCAGCACAATGAGGCCGAACACTCGAGCTGCAAAGTGCTTTGTGATTTCCACCTGTTGAGAGAAGAACATTTAGCATTTTTTTAAGGATATTACAAGAGAATGGGAAGACAGAGACCAGAGAGAGACCAGAGAGAGAGGCCAGAGAGAGACCAGAGAGAGAGAGGCAAATGGGAGAGGGCCAGAGAGAGAGGCCAGAGATATGCCAATGAGAGAGATGCCAGAGACCAGAGAAAGGCAAGAGAGATAGGCCACAGAGAGACCAGAGAGAGAGACCAGAGAGAGGCCAGAGAGAGGCAAATGAGAGAGAAAGAGGCCAGAAAGAGAGGCAAATGAGAGAGAAAGAGGCCAGAAAGAGAGGCAAATGAGAGAGAGAGAGGCCAGAAAGAGAGTAGCCACAGAGAGAAAGGCCAGAGAGAGAAGTGTGATATGGTATGAATTCATTTACCAAGGATAACTTCAGATCTCCAAAAAGTCTCCAAAGATCCCATACAGTGTTTAAGCCGACCAGTGTGATGACAAACAGACCGACAAACTTCACTCCCAACGCGCCGGCTAAGCTAACCCCAGTGAGTCCCAACCACAGCCACCAAGACGATGAAAACGGACTGAAAAAACAAAACAGTTATGAATACACATCCTATGTAATAATAAAATGGACCAAAATTCTTCAATGTATTATAATTTGAGAGTTTAACATACAACAACAAACATTGATTAGAAGAGTGTCCAAAGATTGTGGCTTTTAGTGCAAAAATATAATACATTTTATTTATTTAAACATGTTCCACCAAAATATAACCTTACCAATGTGTCTGCTGGTGAAACTTGACCATACTCAGTACTGCGGCCATAATAAAAAACATGAGGATAGGGTCCAGGAGGATGTACTGGGATATCGTGATGCAGCCGGTGTCTGTCATAGTGTAAAACATACATACATTTACATACACATGGTTTACTTGCACTTATAAGTAAAGCTGATAACATCTGCGAAAGACAAAATACCAACCAAATAACAGCAGTGAGGCGGCAATGAGGGCAGCCGTCTGTGAGCGGGACAACTGCAGCACAATGAGGTAGGCAAAGATTGGGAGGAAGGAGCCGAGGAGGGCGCAGAACTGTGGGGAGATTTAGGAATAAATCACTGGTGGGTCAATGATGACGAATGACGAATACTGGTCAAGTAAGGCAATCATAAAAATTCAATATCATTTAGACATTGTGTCGGGTCAATTTTACCCAAGATTAGCACAAGGGATAAAGCAAAAAAAGGGATAACTTTCAAACCAGAACAATAGCGCTATAATAAAATCTATGTCACGATGTGTAGTATTATTTTCACATGCATGAGAGAGACATGAGAGAGAAGATAGAGACAAAAGAGAGAGAACAAAGACAGACCAGAGAGCGAGATCGAAGAAAGAGACCAAAGAGAGAGACCAGAGTGAGAACAGAGAGACCAAAGAAAGAGACCAAAGAGAGAAACCAGAGAGAGGTCACAAAAGGTAAACGGCGTTAAAGGAGGAACCACTGTAATGAAAAATGCTGTGACAAATACAATGTCATTCCCATTCTGCTCATAACGGTGAATCTCACACACCCCTCTCATGCCCCAGTAGTTGTGGTGTTCGTATCGATCTCCAGGCTTCACAAACGGGAAGGAGCCGCCGTAGCCCGTCATGTAACCAGCCAGACCGATCAGCATCTGAAACACAACACAGCCTTTAACACCACCATCCAAACAGAAGCGATTGTGTAAAGCTGTCTGTGAGTGTACCTTTCCAAGAGGAGGATGGACATCAAAGAAAAACGTCCTGTTGATGTAGTAGCTGCCCATTTTCCCAAAGTGTGTCTCATCCCAGCTGGAAAAATCAAACAAGAGTTTATTAGGGCGGCACGATTTTGATAAGAAATATAGGATTGCATTTTTTATCACATACATTGTAATAATTCCTATGATTTATATCGAAACATTTGAAAGTGCAAGATATAGTAAAATTACATGAACTGAATTGTTTTTTTATGGTTTCGACTTGAACCATAAAACATTACACATTGACTTGATATTGGAGGCTGCAGTCAGAGCAGAGAGGCCCAGACTTCCCTCTCCACACAACTAGTCCCTCTGGGTGCTTCTTCTCAGCAGAACTGGAGCTAGGGTGTGGAAATTGGTTGTCCAATTTGTTGTTTAATGAAAAAGTTATATGGGAGGATTTTTCTCCAAATTTTAGGAAAGAACCCCCCTCTCCTGTTTTTGAACAAAATGTTCTGGTCTAATTTGACGAGCACGTATCACCAGAATGATTGACAATTGGGAGGACAAATAATCTTGATGATCCACACATAAATAGATAATCCCCCTACATACCATTAATCTTTTATTTGTTTACATTCCAAAAGGTGAAAAATGATTTTTATTTCTACACTTTACCAGAACAAGCTCAAGTGAGGCCCCTTGAAACATGAACACATGCTTCTAATAACCTACAGCAAAGGCTACATGTATCATTTTAAGTTTAGTTGAAGAGCCGAGAGGGGCGTGTAGTGTCCATAGCCTCACCAGACGTGCGGAGGCTCGGTGATCCTGTAGAGCCGAGTGGAGAAGGAGACACAGGCCACAACAGGCAGGAGGCGAGACACGTGGACATCGTGCGGCTCCGGGCTCCCGTCTGATAACCCGTTTGGGGACAGGCCATCGTCTGGTTCTTTGAAGGAGTGTGCGGCCGCATTCTGTCCACGTCTGAAGCTGCCGGCGCGTTTCCGAAGTCGCAGAGTAGAGTTGTCCATTGGGGTTTTGCTCAGAGCGACGCATTCTGCCATTTGAGACAATCTGCTTGAAGAAAATGTTCAGGTCCTCCTCCAGCCACGAGGGTTGCTTTGATGCTATTCAAAACACACAAGAAATATATGTTATGAACTTAAGATTACTTACAGCTGGGGTAACTAGTTTCCCTCCCTTAAATAATACATGTTGTTCGCCAACAGAAATAGCTTTGTAAATTTTGTATTATAGTTCAACCTGAAATGTAGAAAACCCTGCTTTAAAAATGCAATATATAACTTTTCTAGAATTGGATCTCAAGCATTAGAGTAATCTATTGTGCATTTATTTAATTGAAATAACTTTCCACAGCACAAAACAATGCATAAAACACCTGTGCAAGACCTGTGAGTGATAAAGATATGTAGTATTTCTATCAGTATTTTTCTTCATCATCTTAACAGTCACACTGGAGTTTAAAAAAAGAAAAATGTCATTAATTTGCTTATACGGATTCACTGATTATTAAAATGAAATTCATCCTAAAAAGGTTACTTATGAGTAAAAGCTAGTTTAGCAAAATAGTGGTAATATATATGATGAATATATATTGTGAGCCACCAGTTTAGATTCTGCCACAAGGTTAGACCCCTATTATTTCCAGCCATAATAATAATCAATAACAAAACAAAAGTTCTGTATTGTGCCCAGCTGTCTCCATAGATCTGCTTTGTAACTTGTTGGCATCACATTATTACCATAGTGATTGAAATGTGTGGGACATTGCATTGAGATGAGTGATGGCATATCAGTGAAAGAAACTATAGCAGCTAGAGCAGAACCTCCAATAGAAAAGTTACACAGAACGCTTTTAAAACTGGATAGAAACTTGTCAACGTTATCTGACACTGTCCTGTAGCCTGAAGCGATGTAGGCGACTAAAGAGACTACACTAAAACAACAGACATGTAAGACGTAAACAATGGCCATTATATAGCTGCATTTACCATTAGCATATAACATTTCATTATATTATATTACAATACATCATGTTGAATTGACTGTACCTGCATTAGCAACAGGGCAGCAGCGTGAGTGTGACCATGGAGAAGACAGGAGAGGACAGCGACGCGAGGAGCATTCTGGGCTTCGTAGTCCAAGTGCTTGCGTCGTAGCCTGACCGAACTGGGTGAAGCATGAAACAGGACTACAACTCCCAAAGTCCTCCCGTAGAATCTCAGCTAACCAATTAAAAACATGGAAGCGACGGAGAGAGAACGTGAGGCTTATCATTGACCGCTAGAGAGTGCTTGTGGTATATCTAAAATTGTGCTAAACTAAAAGCAAAGACATTTTCTAGTATCGATAAATGAAATAAAATTGTATTTATTTTATTTTATTTATTTATTCATTTGAGCAGACAAGTTCTGCTCAAATGAGACAAGTTCTGCTCAAAACGAGTGGGCCGAAGCAAAAGCTTATTGGTGCCCACCCCCAAAACACTACAATAACAGATACACATTTCAACATTTTACATAATACAGCAACAAGAAAAGAACAGACGATAACAACTATAGTTGTAAATAAAACACACCGTTGTCATATTGTTAAGAGATGTTCCTGGAAAGGTGAAGGATCTAAAGTTAATGTTTAGCTTTAAGAGAGCACTATTTCTCTTTTTGAGTTAAGTCTGCCTCAAGAGTTAGTTTGTCTACAGTAAATGGGCCCCAATCCCCAGACACCATTTACATTATCCTATATTTTCACCGAGGAGACTTGATCTATCTCTGTTCTGAGTTTGGTCCTACTTATAATTAGAATTAATGAGTCGTCAGAGGCCACAGCTACAGAGCCTTAGTGTCACAAAGAGACGAGCTATTTGTTTGAGCTCCAAAGGGTTTTCAGACAGATTTGTTTGGAAACAATGGCACAAAATCAGTCGTTTCAGAGAAAGTACTAAATAGCATAACTCTCAAGGGTTAAAGGCACAAAACTTTCCAGGTCTGCAGCTGCTTTGTGATTGGGTAAATCGAAATGTTGTGAATGTTCCAGAAAATATCAGTAAACGTTCTATTTACTTTGATGATCAGCAAATAACTTCACTAGCCAGAGGGCAATGCAAGAATTAAGCTATTTGAGTATCCAAGTAAGTAAGTAAGTAAGTAAGTAAGCTTTATTTATATACCGCCTTTCACAGACCAGAGTCACAAAGCGGTTTACAATTGTTATTTTTTGAGCACTTGTCCTCTCACTCCACACAGAGATGGGAGCGGGGTCGCCGAACAGGAGGCGCATGCCAGACCTATTGTACATATTTTTAGTGGCAGGGGAAACCGGAGTACCCGGAGGAAACCTACGCAGACACGGGGAGAACATGCAAACTCCACTCAGAACAGATTAGTATTAATGAGAAACATATACACACACACACACATTTGGTCTTTATTATTCCCATAAACAAGCCAAAATTAGTTACTTATTTAACAGGCTTTATACTGTTTGAAGCTAAAATATTGCCTGGGTAATGACCCTTTAATCAGGGATGAAGCTATAAAGGGGTTACGTTTTGTTGTGTCCATGGGCACGACACTTAGTCATTGTATATACATTATAAACAATGTTGGGGGAAACACGTATATTTAGTTATAAAAAATACATTCCATAATTTCTCTATATATGTAGTCCATTACAATGATTGTAATGGACTAGTTACTTCATGACACTGACTACATACAGTACAAAAATGAGACGAATAACTTGTTTGAATTTCTTTTTAATTTGATGACTGAGAAACATGACAGTCCAAAAATAAACATTAAATTCAATGACCTTATTCTGAACACTAAAATGATACCACACACACAACAGAGTGATGTTACTACGTTGATAGATGGGCTTTTTGTGACAGACTGCTGAGAATATAAATAGTACTGTATGTTATTCTGGTATCACATGTCACACCTGAGCATGTAAACTCAAATCAAACAGCTACATTCTTGGTGAATCTCTAATGATTTGTCCCAAAGTTGTGCTTTTCATTTCAAAGTCTTTCAAAAGTCATGAGTTCATCAAACGGTCCAAAAATATATTTCATAGTCTGCTCCACAGGGCAGGATACTTCTGATACAGTGTCAGCCACTCGCCCTCACACTAACGATACATTTACAAACATGTATACATCTACATACTTTATGTGTTATGTTTATCAAAATACAGGCATATCTATATTGTAGTACGATAATATGTCACAAAAATAATACAATAGTGCTTGATTTGTACAGAAACCTTGTTATGCATTCAGAAATCCACAAGTAGAAATGGGCTGCCGTGATCCAATCCAAATCTATTTTACTGTGAAATTGAACTAAATGCATCAAACCATGGGAATACTGTAAAGGAATATGTTCTAGTTAGAAAAATATGGATACAAAGATAAATACAGGGACCAGTGAGAGAGTTTGAGTTAATTATACATATACAATCTTCCACACACTGCTCATTGTCCGTGCATGTGTATGTGTATGTCAACCGTCCGCTCACATGTTATTGGCCTTTGCATTAACTTAAACACTTTAAATATTATACTGTATTTATAACGACTCTGAATCTTGGCTGGGACCTTCCCCAACTCATCTTAACCGGAAATCATTGTGGTCAGACAAGAGAAGTAACGTACGCCATCTGAAATCCACTGTGTTTTGCAGAGGCCCGTCATAACAACATAATAAATAAGCCGGTTAAGGACAGTTTGTCAGGCCACAGAATCCCTTTAAAGCAAAAGTGATGAAAGCTGATTGCACGTGGAACATTCACTCTACAGATTAGTTTGATGAGGAGGAAGCTGATGCAGATGTGTGGACTACAGGGATGGGACCAGATAAAACCGTACAGTATGCATTTTTTATTATTTATTATAAATACGCAATCTTTACCTTTGAGTTTAGTGTTTAACCCATTTCTTTGTGTAGAAAACACTGGAATTGACTCTCACAAAATTATCTTCCACTTTTGTGCACAATTCTGTAGAAAACTCATCTTGCAAGATCACATGGCACAAGATCTAGTCCCATTGATGGTGTGAGAAGGAGAAGAGGTCTAGGAAATTCCATCTCTGGTGTATTCTGAAGGTGAGATGGTCAAATAAGTACTATCCCTAGTATTCTGAACGAGAAGAGATCTGGGATGTCCTATGCCTGGTGTACTGAGAAGGAGAGAAGGTCTATGAAGTCCCATCCCAAGTATTCTGAAAGATAGGAGGAAGTCCAATCTTGAGGGTACTGTATTCTGAAGGAGGAGAGGTCTAGGAAATCCCATCCATGATGTTTTCTGAAGGAGATGGGAGAAGTCTGGGATGTCTCTGTATAGCTGCGAGAGTCTGTTTTCAGCTATAGGCACTCCTCACTCAGACTCTTTCCTCTTTTCTGTCCCGCTGGTTCTCTGACGGAGGGCAGGGATGCATTTGTGAGGCTGGTCCGAGGCCACAAACCCAGGCAGACAGGTGCACTTGTAGGAGCCCTCGGTGTTGGAACACAGTCCGTTCTGGCACAGAGGAACCTTGTCGCTGATGTCCTCGCACTCGTTGATATCTGCAGAGACGGAGTTAGTCAGAACAGCTGCCTCAACATCTGTCTGGGCTTTAGCCTTGGATACAAATGCTTCAGTAAATCAGTGTTTATTGAATATTAAGCCTTGTTTCCATACTTGGCTCTATACTACCCTGCTCCAATCTACCCCGTTGCATTACCATTACACTTAAAAACAAGGTCTCCAACTTTTTTCCCCACAGAGAGATTTTTATTCAGGACAAAGAATGCAGAGTTGATATACCACATAGTTATTGTTTGAATCTTGGCTTCCATTACATGCCCTAAGACAATCTAATATCCATGTATTAGTGCACACAGCTTTTGTATGCGTTTACAAAACATCTGAAATCCTAAATACTTTGGGGATCTGCTCGGGCGAGGACTGCATTAATTATTCTAGGCAATATGGGTGAAGTGTCTTGCCTAAAGACACAACTGCAGTTTGGCACTTTACAGCCGCACCCTCCCCACTGTGGCATCTGATGTTCCCAGAGGTAGTAGTAGTAGTAATCTTTATTTATATACCGCCTTTTCACTGCACATCGGAGTCTCAAAGCGGTTTACAATTGTTATTTTTTGGGAGTGGGGCCAGTACAGGAGGCACATGCCAGACCTATTGTACATATTTTTAGTGGTAGGGGAAACCAGAGCACCCGGAGGAAACCTACGCAGACACGGGGAGAACATGCAAACTCCACTCAGAAAGGCCCTGGTCCAACCGGGATTTGAACCCAGGACCTTCTTGCTGAGAGGCGAGAGTGCTATCCACTCAGCCACCGTGCCGCCTCTCCTGTGTGTGAGGTCTCCCATCACAGTACTAACCCAGGTCCTGCCCTGCTTAGCCACAGAGGTCTGACGGGATCTGGCTTTCACATGCAGGTATGGCCACAAACAAACAACTTTGGGTCTGTTTTTGAGACACTATATTATAAGTCTGACAAGGCCCAGCAGCCTCTCCATATCTAACACTTTTATTGCTTCGACTTCCATTCACCTAAATTACACATTGCGTCATCTCGCGTGTCCACCGGCTACAATCGGAACATCTGAATTTGTGACTGAACCTGAAGCTACTTTCTCCAAATGAGAAATGAATGTTGTGTTTCTGTTCTGCCCTTGGCATTGACTTATATTATCTTTCACTTTTAGGAGTGCTGTAAACAAGAGGACTGTGAGCTGTGAGATCTGAGAGAGACTAGAGAGGGAGACAAGAGAGACCCCAGAGCGAGACAAGAGAGAGAGACCAGAAAGGAAACCAGTGGGAGACACAAGAGAGACCAGAGAGAGAAACAAGAGAGACTAGATAGAGAGACCAGAGAGACAGCACAGAGAGACCAGAGAGAGAGACCAGAGAGAGTGACCAGAGAGAGATACCACAGAGAGACCAGAGAGACCAGAGAGAGATACCAGAGAGAGAGACCAGAGAGAGAGACCAGAGAGAGAGATACCAGAGAGAGAGACCAGAGAGAGAGACCAGAGAGAGATACCAGAGAAAGAGACCAGAGAGAGTGACCAGAGAGAAAGACCAGAGAGAGAGACCAGAGAGAGGTACCAGAGAGAGAGACCAGAGAGAAATACCAGAGAGAGAGACCAAAGAGAGAGAGCGACCTAAGAGAGACCAGAGAGGGACAAGAGAGAGACACAGCACAGAGAGACCAGAAATAGACCAGAGATAGGGACCAGAGAGAGAGACCAGAGAGAGAGAGCGAACCTAAGAGAGACCAGAGAGAGGGACCAGAGAGAGACACAGCACAGAGAGACCAGAGATAGACCAGAGAGAGGGACCAGAGAGAGGGACCAGAGAGAGAGACCAGAGAGAGAGACCAGAGAGAGAGACCAGAGAGAGAGACCATAGAGAGAGACCAGAGATATACCAGAGAGAGGTGCTCCACTCTGAAAATGGACTGTGAGCTATCAGTTCTGGAGGTCCTTAAACAGAGCTCCTAAAATAATCAGTGACTGAACCTGAAAGCTAATTTCTCCTAATGAGATCCACAAGAATGAAGTCAGATGTTGTGTTTCTGTTCTGGCCTTGGCATTGACTTTCATTATCTTTAACTTTTACAGCATGGGAGGTCTGATCGAGTCTATCAGCATCAACCTTTTCTTTGTTTATATCATGTTCGTCTCAAGACAACGGCGGCTGTGATATTTTTACAAGCAGGCATGGTATGGTCTGCGAGGCTCCCACATGTTTCCGAAGACCGGCCACTGATTTCTGGGGGAAAAAGTCTGACCTTGAAGCTGATAAGTTGTGTGTGGACAGAATATCGTAACCGGAGCATTTCATTATGACAAGAGAGTCTCATGTTCCTACAAAACAAACAGCACACTTAACATTACAGACATTACATCTTTTATCCTTGGCAGCGCTGGACGAGGTATTCTGACCCAAAAAATGAAGTCAGTGCTATTGAGGAGTCCATGCTTTCATTAGTTTCCAATAAAAGATAGAGTCTAAAGCAGAGATAAGCCTCGCCGTAAGCTTCATGATTTAACGCACGAGAATCTCACTGGTGACACGCTACAAAGAACAAACCGAAGCAAGACACTAACCAGGTTGTTAAGAAAGCTCGTTAGCGTCTCTTTCAGTGGAAACTCTAAGATTCTGCTTTGCTTTTATCACTGCACCTTTGAAATTTGCTTGTTGAAGTATTTCCCACACTTTTTTAGTTTGTTTTATTTCTGTACTTTTTATCTTTGTAAAGTCCTTCGAGATAACTACTGTTGTGATTTAGCACTATAAAAAATAGATTGATTTGAAATGGTACATTAACACAATTTAATCTGCCAATATAGTCACGCTAGACCTTTTAAAGCTTAGAATCTCTAGAATTCAACCGTTTATTTTATTCTATACTTTGATTGTCTAACAAAATTCCCAACATTAGTCATTCAGCCAACTTCAGCTCCGAACAGCTCATATCCAATCCAAACAGTTTTACAATCTGGGTTGTTGGCTGCTGGACAAGTTTAGTGAACTGAAGTTGCCCGTTAATCCATGTGCATGGATCAGACACCTTTAGTGGCCGAACATCCACTAAAACCTGATCGACAGGTTTCAAGCTCTCATGAGAACTTTGTATTTACATTTTTTTTATTAATTTATCGTCTCAATGATGAATTTGTAGTGATACTGGGGAATCCCATGTCTCAGTCTTCTAATAAAAACACTGTCTTTTAAAAGCTTGTCGTATTTTTGTTTTGAGTGAGTCTTGTCGTTTGTCTATGTTTCATTTCAATTAAATTCAATTTACATCTCCATGAGGGGCAGATGACCAATGTCAAACAAACAATGTTGTTGAATGTTGAGTGTCCTGGATTATCACCACTGTTCTAAAAAACTAAAAATCCAGTGGGAGAAAATGATAAACCTCTGTGGACCTCGAGTTTGAATCATTACTTGTCGAAAGAAATAAAAACTCCCTGAAAACGGCACACACAGTAGAGCGTGGGCGAATGATGATCTGTCTATTCTAAACAATGTGAATGTTTAAAAAATAGGTTTTATCAGAACTTACCAATGCACGCCATTTTGTTCAAGTCCAGTTCATAACCATCGAAGCAGTCGCAGGTGTAGCCCTCTCTCACGCGGACACAGCGACCGTTCTCACAGCCGTTTAAGACGCCACATTCCTCGGCTCGCAGTCCCTCGAAACCTTCATACCGCTCTGTAAAATAACACGGTAATTTTGATTAGAAAGCTTTGTTTGTGAAGACATTTATGAGGTTTTGTATATGCTGCTGTCTTGTTTAAAAACGTTGGACTGGAGTATTGACAATTTTATTATAAATAAATGAGTTTCCAATAAATGATTAATACCAGGCCTCCTTGCATGAAAGAACACACATTATGCTAAATTGCCTTCATTTGAGTTTTTAACCAAGTCTGTTCCCTTATCAAAAACAGACTTGGCCTTGTCTTTAGCTCTATTCACAGAACATTAGGAACCTCTGGCACAAACACATGCCTCCATCCCTTCTGTCCAATTGCTCCTATCTCAATTACGGTATGCTACGACAAATGCTGAGGGCTATGTGATCATTTTTAGCCAGATTCCCTTATTTTGTATGTTGTGTTTGGTTTCCGATTTTTTTTTTTTTTAATAAAACATAAAACAAAAAGACTATGTGATCATTAAATTTTGTTTTCTGAACAAAATATTGCTTCTACATTAATATTTTGATCTTTTGTTGGAAAAGAAAATAATTCTATCCTTTATATGTACATGTTGTCGTTATGCTCAATTTTGAATTTATTTACTTTCTGTTTTAGTTTAGTTTTTAGATTTTTTCTTGTTAGGGAGTGTTTGTTTGTTTCTTTACGCAAAATAAATCAATGCATTAAAATCATTGAAAAAGTCTTTATATTGATTCTAATAAAGTACAAATAATAATAAATAAAGCAAGAAAAAAAAAACAGTGTTCACGTTCTAAAACATGAAAAGCTAATGCCAAAATTAACTTTGCATCAGCCCCTCACTGATCCTCCTGCAGGGGGTGAGTCCACAGGAGCCTTGATCTTTCAGCCGGGGCTTAAGGCAAAGTGGGGTTAAGGTGTCTTGCCCAAGGACACAACAACAGCAGACATCAGTGGAAGTCCTGAAGTAGGTCTTTTGGTGGGCTCTAACCCACGACCTTCAGGCCCAAAGGCCAATACTCTACCAATTTGCCATATGACTAGTATAACCCAGTTTTGAGCTAATTCTTTCAAATTTACTGTCAGTAAAAAAACATTATGTAAGATTGTAGCTACAGAAATACAACTTTCTCAAAACAGATATCTGTTTTTGCAAATACAAATTTGTTGAAGATTCTCACCAGCAAACTCAACCGGTCTTGGCAGCTGCTCTCTGGGCCGCAGCACTGGTACCCGGACCGGAGGCTGTCTCACGCTGTAGTCGTTGTCGTTGAAGAGAGGAACTCCTTCAGGAACTTGGTATGGGCCCGCTGGGGTGCCGTAGTTGTCCCAGTATGGCTGTGCAAAGGGCTCTGTCCCATCGTCCGCTCCCTCCACTCCGTATTCATACCCCGGCCGCTCCCTCAGGCTGTCCGTGCCCCCTCTCCTCGCCAGGTTGCACATTATGGCATAGTCCTCTATAAGTGCAAATACATATTGGTTGTTTTTAGCAAAATTTTTTATGTATTTTGATCCTTATATTCAGTATATGCATGAAACAGACCCATAAAGATTAATCACCATTCATTTAGTTTAAGGTCACTCTAAGTCTGAAATATTCAGATTTATTTTTTGTCTGGGAGGTGGGGTGCTTAAAAACAGTTAGTATCTGGTATTATCACCATTTGTAGAACTTTGTTATCAGATATGTCATCCATGCAGAATTTCATTTTTTATGAAAAGAGAGAACAACATCCATATGTGATTTAACTTTGCCACTTTAGTATGTTTTGGTCTTTTACAACATACAGTACATGTAATGAGTCCTGGATCTATCGCCTGTCGATACGTGGGAGCGTATCCCACTCCCAGAGGTTTCTCACTTTTTCCCCACTTTTAGTACTTTTGTTCCTTGTCGATGCAGGAAGGTCTAAGTGGTGGTCCGGGACATTAAAGAACATTTATGACATTTATTAACGTTTATGGGCAGTGGTCATCCCACTCCCAATGGACCCCAGTGGTCCATTGTGTTTGTCATGATTGCATTTCCTGTTTTTGAACTGATTGATTCCTCGATGTGTTGGTGACAGTGCTGATCCAGGACACTCAAGATTTATGGACATTGATCAATTTTTATGAATATTGGTCATCTGTATTCTATCATTGCATTTCTTGTGTTTGAGCTGTTTTATTCTCTGATCTGTGAGTTCCATTCTCACCGGAGTCTTTCCTGGGGCAGAAGGCACACTGTAAGCTCCAGGCCACTCCATACAAGCAGCAGCACTCTGTGTATGTGGTCCTCTGTCCTTTGAGAGGCTCCGAACACACGCTATCCTCTTCCAAGCGCTGCCAGCAGATATCCATGTGCACGTCATGCTCAGGCTCCGCTATTTCTACAACCAAAGTCAGTTACATCAGAGCAAAACCACAATGGAGACTCGGCCAGACTGTATTTACTTGTGTTTATAAACACATGTTAGCATGTGCGACTAACCTGTAGTGTTGAGGCCGATACAGCGGCGCCGCGTGTTGTCGAGCACTAATGGAGGGCTACAGAAACAATTGAAAGACCCGGCAGTGTTGACACATACTCCGTCCATACACGCATTACCCAGCTCACACTCGTCATAATCTGCACAAATATTACAATGTCAACATTCATACTTCACTTTGTTCGGGGGAATGTCTTTGGAGATGGAGGAGCTGGACTTACCCACACACTCGAGCCGGATGTTATCGTAGTAGAAGCCCGAGCGGCAGTAGCAGGTATAGGTGGAAAAGAGATTGGAGCACTGTCCGTTTTTACAGATGTCTGGTCCAAACAGTTTACATTCGTTGGCATCTGAGTTGAACATAGTCCTGGTTTAGTTTAGTTTGTATTTGAAAGGGACAGTGCACAACAACATTAAACTTATGTTCTGCACTAGATTATAGCTATACAGCGTATTTGCATCTCAATCAAGTTAGAACAATAGGAAAGTACGGTACTAGAATGGAACCCCCTCCTCCCACACACATTACAACCACACCGCACAAACAACACATCCTCTCATTCACTATCTCTAAAATCAATAGTTTTAACCTTGACAAAGATGAGTACTGTACCTATATAAGAGCGCCGGTCTCCCAAGGCTTGTATGCTGGAAGCTGGGACAGACAACAGTCCACCGCCATGAGGACACAGCTGGTTGTAGTCCTCTGAAACAAAAGGCTGATGTCAGATGAACTACTTCTGGAACTCCACAGTGCTGCGCCTGAGCCACAGTGTAAGCCTCATACCTCTCCCTGGGACTGGGCAGGCGTGTATCTCACAGTTGTCCCCCCAGCCTGCTCCCACGGTGCAGCAGCACTCCTGCTTGGTCACATTTCGGGACAAGACGTTTTCACAGAAGTTGGCATCGTTTAGATTGTAGTAGCACTCCTTCCTCTCTTCAGAGTCGGAAACAGGAGTAAGAAGAATGGGGGGTTTGGCCATTATATCATCTGTTAAAAAAAAAATTTAGTCAGAGAGCTGTATGCTCTATATATAACTTGTTGAAATGCATGCTCTTATTAGGTTCTGTTTACTGTGTTTACATTTCTAATGTGTTCCATGTGTTTCTGTTCATTATGCTCATGGCTGTGCTTTTACAGAGGGTGGCTGCTTTGAGCAGGTAGTGCCTTGGCTCTGCCACTGCTGAGCTCGCTAATTCATCCAGAGGCATGGGCTCCGGCATCTCACCCTTAAGCTTCTGGCTTAGCCAAATGGAAACACTGGCATGTGAGCCAACACACCATTCACTTTCACATGATTGATTAACACACGTCAAAAGCAAACAGTGGAATGTGGCAAAAAGCTACACAAAGGCATAGCTGGGGTTTAGTGGCCAGGCAGGAGGAAAAACATCCCCAGTGAGGGAGCGCCGCTTAATAATATAAATAGACCCAATTTGTGAACACACAGGCCTATTGCACGGCCCATATTGTGCATTATTATCAATACAAGAATGCTTAAACACTCATGTGCACCTAATGAGATACAAAAGATGGTGATGCTGCCAAGTACCCAGTGGTTCGACTACTTCAGTGTGTTCGTCTTGCTGGAAATAGCTTTATACGCCCTGCGGCTATTTGGCTAGCTCTACTACAGCTTTAACTTTGTTATTATCCTGAAGGATTAAGCCAATTTTTGGAGGCAATCCACCCAGTCATAGCATCAGCCTGGAATGGAAACAGCCAGGTCAAGAGATCCCCTGGACAAAGGTGGAGTTAAGTCGTGTCCACCTCGTCACCCTGGCTGTTTGCATAATGACAGACGGCTCATTAAATCAGGGAAAACTGGGTGTCGGAGCGGCGGGACGGACTGCAGCCGTGATCCCCGGGCTCTTACCGACGGGCCGGCACTGGCTGGTTATGGGATCAAATTCCTCATTGGCGCTGGGGCAGAAGCACAGGAAGCTGCCATCGTGGTTCTCACAGAGGGCCTCCCCACACAACGCCTCGCTCATCTCACACTCGTTCACGTCTGAGAAAGAAAGACACGGACACAGGCCACGGTCAAGGAGAGGTCAAACAGAGGACCTGCACCGTGACATTGAATCAGGAGTTCCACTGGGCCTCACCCACACAGCGGCTCATGTCTTCAGGAGCGTTGGTGTAGCCCTGGTCGCACCGACAGCGGAACGAGCCGTCAGTATTCTCGCACATGCCGTTGTTCCCACAAATGGTTTTGTTGAGGCACTCATCGATATCTGCAGACACAATATGTGACGTGAGTGCCATAATAGGAGTTTGTGGAAGAGAGTGAGCTGCCTCTGCGAACAAACTCCTGCTTTTCCAACATAAATAAGACCATAATTGTAACTCCACTAAAACAACATGGGCAAATACATGGAAAAACACTGGCCACCATTGTATGTTGTAAAAGAAATTAAAGAAAGAAAAACGCAAACTCATGTATAAATATCATTCAATTGGTTCATTATGACTATTAAATACTCCAATTAGGGTACACTGTATAAATTATCCAAAAAAAGTCAAAAATGCATTGAGTTAGGTTTGGCACTCAAATTGTACTCATTTCTTGTTAAGTGTGAAAAAAACTGTTACAAATCTCAGGATTGGAATCCTCATAAGCGTTTGCTTCATCCACTTTTCAAAACTGAATATTATTCTGACATTTTTGCTCTGTAAATATTGTTTTACAGGTTTTGATAGAAACATCTTTATTGATTGACTCACGGCCTAATAAATAATAAACTGAAAAAATCATGGAATTGTAATTGTATATTGACCCATGCCCTTTTTAACAAGCACATTCTCAGTAGAAATTAGGGGTGAAAAAGCAGTGAGTCCCAGTGGAAAATCTTGTTTTAAGAATCAAACAAAGATGAAAACCATTGTGCCGACAAGTAATTTGATATTTTTTTACAGTGCAGAAGTACTAGTAATAGCAGCAGAAAACCAGAGGGCCTGTACACTTTATTTCAACTCCATTTCAGCTTTGCCTATGAGAGCCAAGTGGGGGTAATAGAAATATGGTGGTATTTGCCTGCTGGGTAATTATTCATAGAGAAATTATTTGCTTTTGTATGTCAGTCATAGAAAAATTGGCACATGAAAGTTCAGACATAAAAATAACACATTACAATCCATCAGTGTTGATCTGCTCATTGTCTGAAGCCGGAGTTGAAAGCGGAATTTCACTCTTCAAGCCGATCGCGTTTCTCTGCCTCAGTTTGAAGGTTGCATACTGTTAAAACCGAATGGCTATTATTTTAAAAACACACAGATTTTCTTTCAGTTCAAACAATGGATAAAAGTGGCCCAGCTCCAGAGACTAAGCATTAAATCTGAAAAACTGCAGCTTGTCATTTGTCATTTGTGTACCAACCACTGTGACAAACAATGTTTCAAAGACAAGACGTCAAACAATAATGATAGCTACTTATTAAAGAGATTTAATTTATGACTTGTGTAACTTTGCTGAGGTTTACTCCTCAGATCTGGGATCCAGAAATCTCACGTGTCAAAAATATCAGATGCTTTGTCATCCAGAGAACAGATTTATGAGGTGAACATCAACACGGTTCCCTCATGATGAGAAACCTAAGACAAGCAATGCCCTGAAGGCAACTGGGATCACATAGAAAATATAATATATTATTTGATTTACGCATCATGGTAGAAGCAAATAATAAACTGTAAAAGGTAAGTCAAGAGTATGTTATCATGATTACGCAAGTCATTATATCTCTTGTGAGATACTGATCTAAAGATCCTACAGTATATTTTGCTTTTTTTATTTTTCAAAGTCAATCCTATGCTAATGTGTGTTAATAATTTGGGTGATATACCATACAACACTCAAAAATCTAAAATTATAGCCATGTTCAAGCCTTGCATAGAGCTGAAGTCACCTCTATTGAAATGCTTAGATCTGTGCTTATTCCCCGAGAGCCCGCCTTCTCCCGCCCGCGCGGTGACCTAGCCTCATGCTGATTTTGTAAACACAGAACTATTTAGCTTCCACCGGTAAATGAACCTGAAGGTTGTGGGTTCAAATCCACCTACTTCCACAGATGTCTGCTGTCACTGCGTCCTTGAGCTAGACCCTTGACCCCTCTTTGCCTGAAGCCCCCACTGAAAGATCAAGGCTACTGTATGCTCTCACAGACAGCTGGTTCACTCACCTGCAGGAGAGACAGTGCGTCAACCAGAATGTGCAATTGGCCCCTCTGATCACCACCAACCATTCACACACACTCATTCAAGGCAATGTGGGTGAAGGATAAAGTGCCTAAGGACACAACAACAGTTTGCCTCACAATGGCACCTGGTAACTAACCAAACCCTGCCCTGCTTAGCTTCTGAGGTCTGATGGGATCTGGCTGTCACATGCAGGTATGGCCACGCATCACCATATTTCCGGTAGGCCCCACTTTTGTAAAGTGCCTCAAAGATGTAGAAAAGGGTCTACTTAAAGGATTGTTTGTGTGCCAATCATAGACTGTAAATATTAACGGACGTAGTCACGCCTATCTCCACCGTTCAAACTAATGGGCCAAAAATCGTGCTCTACTGGAGATATCCAAAATGGCCGCGAGTGGTCCCGCCCACAAGAAAATTGTGAAAAAACGCATCTGCGCATGCGTCAGCCGGCGCAAGCTCCATTCATTTAAACGAGTGCCTTCAAAAATTCACAACAACTAAACTAGAGTGGTCCTAAAAAATTCACTCCCCTCAGCATTGAAACACATGTGGAACGGAGCTTTGGGCCAAGAGCCAACTTTTGGACCATCCTGTAAAGACGTTTTCGAGAGGTAAGAAGATGCTATATGTTAGCATTAGCTAATTCTCATTCCGGGTCCAATCCCAACGGCCCGGGGTGGTATTGCAAGCATGTCAGCGCACGTTATTTTGGCCACTTTTGAGCCGGGACCCGCCCCCACTGGTGCCTATCCACACAAACCATCCTAAAGGCGCCACCTGGACACTTAATGCTGTCTGTAGTTTAGTTTCCTGTATCCTGTTGGTTGTGTCTCTTTTAAACATCCATTTGAAGCTTCTGTACTTTGTTTGATTCACTTTTTATTCTTTGAGTGTCCAAAAAGCACCATAGCAGTATAATTAATGATTATTATTATTATTATAGGACAGTTGTGAAAATGTGTGAATTTGAGTGGTTTTCTACAACTTTTCAGAACTTTACATACATTTATTGTAATTAATTATTTCAATATCTAAAATCTGAAGCACAGAGTGTAGAATTGAGAGCCACAAGAGAGCTGAGGGCCAGACAAACATTGTGCAGATGACTCCCACAATTCAGGCAGAATCGCTACTTCCTGTGTCCAACTGCGCTAAGTCGGTCTCCGCAGCTGTCAGTTTTCCTGTCCTGAGACTGACTTGGCGCTTTCTCAGTGACTTGGGGTCAAAGACAGCGGCTCCCATAGCTAATAAAATGCCCAGAACTAGATTGCCTACATCCATCCAGCACAACTAACTAATGATATCTGGATTTGAATGTCTCCAAAAGGATAAAGGAGGAACACATACGAATCAAATTTCATGGATTCCAATGCCAAGAATGTGCAGAGATAGAGCAAATATGAGAGAAATGACATGATTTGGAAATAGGAGTTCAATGAGAGTCGGGTTTATCAGCGTGTGAGGGACCCAAGTGTAAAGAGCTTAAGTGGAATGTTGGAATGACAGTAAAGTCCAGCTGGGAGGTCTGAGGGGAAAGCGATGAAAGCCCTTGTATAAGAGGTGATCAGTGTGCAGGCATGTGCTTCAAGGAACCCAATCTCCCGCAAAACATATGCTCAAGATGATGGACGGGGCAGCCGCAGTCTCATCCACAAGAGGAATTCAAATACGCACATCTAAACTATTTAATTAAATCCTTTTTATTCTTGTGTGTCTCGGGAGTTATAATCAGCAGCGTGCTAATCATAGTTGAAAAGGTGAGGTCAGTGTAGAAATGCAGGTGATACACTACAAGAAATATGAGGCAAGAATGATTTTCTATCAAACGGTTTTTACCTTAATTTCAGTACATTCTTAAACAAATTTTCCAATGGGACAAAGCCATTGCAGGAACTGTTGCTTTATTGTGTCATTCCAAGGGAGACATCCTTTTTATATTATTAAAACAAGATCATTTGCTGGTCCCATTGGCAAATCTTGTTTTAAGACGAAATGTGCTGTAATTAAGTAATTTTGTACTTTTTTTTCACTTTCTGCAGTGTATCGTTAACGTCCATGATATTTTGAATTGAACAGTACAATTGACTAGGCACTTTAGGTTACCCCTTTGGACCTAACAAATGTATGATAATAAAAAAAAGCTTATGTAAACTAGGGCAGGGACTTTATTGCGTTAATTAAGATTAACTAACGCCACAAAAATTAGCGCGTTAAAAAAAATTATGCATTTTAATTGTATGGGACGTGCACCGCGGAACTTTCCTTACTGGATGAGTTTCAACTTGAGCTCCGTGACTTTTTTTGTTCAAAAGTAAATTATTACAAGCATAGACCAACTTTAGCTGTGTCTACAGTAAATCCGAGTGAGTTAGAGACGGGAAGGAGCGCTGTGTATGGAGCGATGGACTCTATGTGTGAGGAGGAGGAGGCGGAGGAGGAGACGGAGGAGGAGGCGGAGGAGGAGGCGGAGGAGGGTGCGAGACACAGGTGTGAGCGGCTATTGCTGATGTTTAGTCCGAATGTAAAAATCAAAAACGTATTCTAAAAGCTTTAGCAAACAGTGCATATCCTGCTTCAGTGCTCACTGCGAGTGCAGAAGATTTCAGGCATAAAAAGCGTCTGTTGTTGTCAGAGAGTGTGGAGGCAATGACAGAAACGTTATTGGATGGGAAAGAAGTCCGTCTGATCCCCTTATCATCCACAATTAACATGTGTTATGTATTCAGTCATTATTCAATGGTAAACTAAAAATTACTTCTCACTGTTTTCAGGTCAAATATTGATATGCGATTAATTAATTACAAAGCCTCTAATTAATTAGATAAAAAATTTTAATGGAGTCCCAGCCCTAATGTAAACAGCTCAAACTGATATTCTGGAACTCTAAATGAATTGCAAATTTTAAGAATTGTAATAAATTGACCTCCTGGCCTTAAATGTTGATATAAAATGTAAAATGTAAAATGTAAATGTAAATGTAAATGTGCACTTTATTGTCCCCGTAGCGAAAATTCTCCTCTGCATTTGACCCATCCTGATGCCACTAAGGCTTACATTAGGAGGGTGCGGTGTTTTTAAGAGGAAGACAGAATGTTATTGCAAAAAGAAAGTTACAGTAGGTATCCAAGAGAGACCAAAAAACAAAATTAAATATTATAATGCAGTCAAAGTAACATAAATCAAGTCTTTGCTATAATGTTAATAACTTTGATTACAATAAAGCCAAGTCTATCATATATTGGTTTCACATTTTAAGTTATATAACAAAACTTTTGAGCAATTTTCCGACTTTCTCCTGAGTGTGAGGGTTCTTATGCACAAGTGGACAAAGATGAGACAATATTCTGTCCACAGATCTGCAACTTCTCCCATCGCTTCTCTCTCAGACTGACAAGTTACACCCAGACGAAAGCCTCCGTCTTACACATGGTAAAGCGTTCATACGGCTGGCTATACATTTACTGCAGTGGAAGGTCGGTGGAGGCTTGACCACAACACAATTTCCGTCTCGCTTTTTAAAGACATAAAATAACTCATGGGAATTTCTGTGTAAGATGAATGATTTAAGCTTAAAACAATTTGTTGCAAGTGCATTTAATATAGCTGCTGCTGCTGAGTGCTACTACAACTGTATACTATGTGACCTATTGGTACGGTGCAGCGGTGAACTCTGCAATGCTGAGATGGAAAACACCCTGTTTTTTCCTTTTTGTGTTATAGTCCCTGAATCTTAATGAGCGCAGAAATGCGAGCCAAAGACAACCGCTGCCCCCTGACAGCCAACAAGTAAAAATAAAACAACGCCCCAGCTCTAAACCTGCAAATTACACCGTCTGGCATCCACTTAAATATTTGATGATTTTTTACTAGCAGACAAAAATGCCCTGGAGAAATTGAGTTGCCTCTCTGGACTTTTATTGAGGTGACGGCAGCATCTCCCGCAACTTCCCATCGTGTGGCAAAAAACAAGCCACCATTGTGTAAGGCTGGGGTTTCTGGGGCTTCTGGGGCGCACGGGACCCGGTTCTCAAGGGCCAGTCTCTGAGTGTGAGTCAATGTAAGCAGGTCTGAACACACGGCAGCTGGCAACACCACATCGTCCACTGAGAGTGTATAGAGCTTTGTGTTGTTCCAAGACAGACTTCAGGTTAAAGTTACGGCCATTAATACGCTCGAATGGAATGGGGAAATGTATTTGTACTCATAATATCTAGAACCATGCACCAAGTCTGAGATCATATTGACTGAAGTATACACAAGGTATCCAGGACTTAGAATATACAGGTAATTCAATAAACATGAGATATAACCTTGTAATTCTCAGGGCAAAAGCAACAAGGGATGATCACAAAGGTTTAAGTTAAAGTTTTAACTGATTTTCAAAATCATAAGCAAGATATGAGAACTATCATTAAAGAAAAATATAGAATTGTTGTTGTAATAACTCACCACCAGCAACTTCACTACTTACTTAAAAGTAACACATACAACTAAAAAAATTGTTATTGATGATCCAGGACACTCAACATTCCACAACATTTATGGACATTTATCAACACATATGGACATTGGTCACCTGCTCCTTATGGACAATTACCAATGTGTTTTTTCTTGTGTTTGAACTGTTTCATTCTCTGATCTGTGATTGTGAATTCTATGGTTGTGTAAATTCCTCCAAGATATGCTGTTGTAATTTAGGGCTTATATTGGAATACATGGAATTAAATTGTATTAATTAGTTAGTGCAGTGGTTTCTAAAGCGAGGTCTGTGGGGAGGCACTTCAGGAAGGTCTCTAAAGGCTGTCCACACACTGAGCCTAAGACTGAAATAAATCTACAAATTGGATTACAACAAACTTACTTCTTTGTACAGCATAAGTCATTTTACGTCAGTAAGTTAAAAAGCAATAACATTACATATTGGGAATGGCTGGGATACTGAATGAATAGTCAGCATTTTATTGTAGTTCCAGTAAATTGTGAATTGTTTCAGGATTGTAAAATAAATATACCCAATGGCCATAGTCCAAATTGGTAGTTTGTGTTAAGCTGTTTAAAATCAATAAAATACAGTATTAAAGGATTTGCATGTCCAGTTTGAACCATGAAATGGAAGTTCTCAGGCTTCTTGTCCGCCCACGTTATGACCCTGCGGAATTCTAATTTGTATGTGGTTTCAAATTGGGGAATTTGCTTCATCTGATACTCAAAGTGGTGAGAGGCACAACTCAGTTACCACTACAGTGACAGCAGTTGTGAGAAGTGTAAGATGTTCAGCCTAATATCATATGTGACTATAAAAAGAGGGAGGAGGTGAGCAGCTGGATCTTATCAGACTCCAGACCCTGGTGCCAGACAGACAGTATCATAAAAGCCGTGAGGAGTGGGCCACACTGGGCTGAGGTCAGCACTGGCTGGTTCAGGCTCCCCTCCTGTGGACTTGTGTCTCATAAAAAGGATCCCGAGACAGAGGAGTCCTGTTCGAACAGACAGGGAGCCACAAACTCAAAGTGACCATGTGCCGTTCATCTCACTCAGGCTGAATTACAACCTGAGATTCTTTTTAAGGGTCACAATTAGCAAAGGATGCATTTCTTTCAATCATTTGCAAACAGAGGAACGGTTGCAAAGTCAAGACAAAAATATACAATAATAATAGCTTCAAAAAGGTAAAGTATGTAAGTTCTCCTAGATAACGTACATATTTGAACAATGAGCTAATATTAGAGAGATACCAACGGAATAAGTACATCTATTGTTACCTTTAGTGCTTTCTTGTTCCAAGGGAATTTTTTTTTGTATTTTCCATATTTCAAAGACAAACAGACAAACAAGATTCATATATGATGAAAAAAATATATATTCTCTGCTATTTTGACACACTCAAAATACACACAAAAAAATCCTACTTTTCATCCATATATTGTAAATCACAATTATATATCTAACGACTTTTGTGCGGCAGGATGCTTGCAGTCTCTTATTTAACCTCTCAGTTGACAACGTTTTTGGCCCAGCTTCTGATGTGAGTCAAATATATGCATTTGCGGCTTATCTCCCCCAGTTCTCATAAAGCAGTTCGTCCCAAGTTTATGGTAAGGACAACACAGCCAAAGCATGGCAAAACAAAAGCCATCATTGAGTAATAAACTATTAATTATTCAAAACCCCTTGGTGTTTCATTTAGCCAATAAATTCATCGTGAACACTGTGGAGATGGAGCTCTTGTTGTTTTTGGCATTTTGTGGTTCCAGATGTGTTAACCCAGCTTTCTAGTAGGTGACTTGGACGACGCCGTACGGATACAGGGAGTTAAGGGACCATTCTCTACTGGCCTGATGCGCTGGCGATCTTGTTTCAGTCGCTGTCTCTGCCAAAAGCACTTTGTGTTGGCAGAAAAATTGATGTAACTTAGGTTATCAGCACGCGGCGGCTCCATGACGGTCCAGTCCACTCTGTAAAGCGCTCTCATTTCACGGTCACTTCGCCGTGTCTCCCCTCATGGTCTCCCGAGTGCTTAGGATATGATTTTTGTGCCAAACTTGATTGTGAGGAAGGGCCGTTTTAGTAGGAATTTACACTGACAAGTTCTATCTATAATTAAATCAGCTACGGTGATAATGAAATAAATCAAATGGAAGATAACATTTACAAAAGTATGAACACTGTTTTGTCTGAGCTTGCCCTTTTTTCTAAACTAAATGATAAGAAAGAACTGGGTGGCTTTACAGTTTTAGTGGTGCTCATAACTTTGTTATTTATAACTTACATTTTTATTGCTATTACTTCATACGTCACAATGGTTTTACTTATTCTATTTTTGATACATATAATGCTGGCAAATCTGTATATTTAATTGTGTTTTATCTCTGTGCAGCACTTTGGAAACACTTTTTATGAAATGTGCTATATGAATAAAGTGGATTAGATTGATTTTCAGTGAATTTGAATCTTGACCAAAGTGAAGAGCTATATTTTGGCCACTGAGCAAGTTTTTCACCTTTTTATTTCTTCAAGATTTGACAATTGCAATTTGCTGTACTGTGGTCTGAAACCTAAGCTCAGGCAGAGCACATCAACCCTGTGCTTGCCTCTATATTAATATCTGGATTTTTTCTGTTACAAACTCTGCTTGTTTGGCTCCCACTCTAGCCCTGCTCTAGCTCCACTCTGATCACCAGCAATTGATTGCTGGTGATTTTTCCCACTCTGGACAAATTTAAGCTATATAATCCCTTCGAAAAGGTACAAAATTATTCACCGTTGGTAAGAATTTTTAAGTAATGGCCTGAGCGTAATTGTGTGAAAATACACACCCATAATGACTCTAGAGTGCCACATATGAGAGGCTTCCAACCTAAACTTTTTCGATCCTCAATAAATCTTTACAATCATATGAGCAAAATACAACATTACCCAGAGGGTGTATGTTCCACAGGTGACCAAAAGGGGCGCACTGAATCCTTTTAATTAGCTTTTACGTGCGCAACTCTGGTCCTATCAGGTTAACAGCATGGACTGGCATCCGGGAGGCGGCTGCGAGACTGGTGAGGGCTTTCATCGCCACTTGCAGTTTTAATTTGTTTTGTTATGTTATTTGAATATATACTTACATCATCATAATACAGTGTGATATGATATGGCCATGAAAACACTATGCATTATTTAGAATGTGCCCGTCTTACTGTATAAGACTGTAAAAAAGTGTCAGCATTAACCGACTCACCACAGTCTGTGGCGTCGTCCCTGTTGACACCAGGCTGACAGCCTTGGAAGCAACGGTACGACCCGATGGTGTTCTCACAGCGCCAAGTACCACAAGGGGAACTTCCAAACTCTATGCACTCGTTCTGATCTGTGGAAGAGACATGAGGTTAAAAACGTTACATCAATGTTTTGGGCAACAGCAGTTAAACTCGAGATTATACAAATCCTATAATAATCACAACCACAATATGAATGGTAGAAAGCAAAGTGAAAGTAAAATGAAACATGGAGAGCTGTCTTGTTTGGCAAAATGGATGTTATATGTCTCATTTGTTTTCCCAAAAGGGTAAACAAATATACATACAGTAAGAAGTAAAACACAGGAATGCTTTCAATGTGAAAGTGGGCTGAACTTTTGATCTCTGTCTGTCTTTCAGCCAAAGCAGGAGAATCATTTCAACCTCTGGATCTCTTCTTAACAAGCACTTCTTCCTACCGTTTGGTGAACCCAAACTCAGCATGAAGAAGGTTCCAGCTGCCTTATTGTGTGGGACACAAAGTGCACCTCCAGCTCTTTTATCAAAGCAAGACAAAATGTTTGTTTCCAATATAGATTTTCCAAGTAGGCTATGCAAACGGAAGTGAAAAGGAGAATGAGTGGCTGGAATAAGGAGTGTAGAACAGGGATGTGGATTACCTCACAGACAGAGAAAATGAAAGAAGCTTTTGTTCTGGAGACAAGAGTCTGCAGGTAGAACTCTCCCGTGGACAAGTACAACCGCCCACACACACACACATATCTTTGGCCAATAAAACTCTTTGGGCCCATGCAGTTTCAGACCTGAATTGAATCTGGTTTACGTGATCAACTGGTCAACGCACAACATTACATGCATATTTATCTAATTACATTGGAGTATTTGGAGGATTTGCTTTCCACAAATTCACAAATGTACTTTACCAAGTGAATTTTCTGTCTGCGAACCGTCTGATTGTCCATCATATCGCACCAATTGTATAGAAGTGAAGAAGCAAAAAAGACAAATAATGTTTACAAAATAGTGCTGGACGCTTTTTTAAGTGAAACATGAGGGAAGATAGCTTCTACTGCCGCCATGCTAAGTCTGTAAACATAGTACAAGCTTTCGTCTGTTCAATAGACAACAGAAGACATTATTGTCTTGCCGTCCCTCCCTGCTCTGTGATTGGTCCCCAAATCCATGCAAACATTTCGGCTAGAGTTTCCAGGCTGTTGTGTAGTTGGAAATGATTCAAGTACACACAACAGCACTTGAATAATTCCCAGGCTACTGAGTAATAGAAAAAAAACAAGAACAATATTATGACAGCAATCCGAGCACCTGTGAAGGAAATCAAAGATACTGCACCAGCCTGAACATCTCCTGCTAACAAAGGGGTCATTCATGACCTCTTTGGGAGTCCAGAGCGGCGCAGAGCTCGGCCATGCACTTTGTCTGTTGGACAATCACTCCCACAGGCAACGTGTCATCAATCATGAGCAACCAAACCCAAATGCAGCATGACGGAGGAAGTGAAAAGTTGACAAGGGGATTTCTCAAGAGATGGATTCACATTAAATGTTAAAAAAGAGGTTAAAAATGTCCTTTTGTAGGTGAAGACTAGCCCGACTCTCACCAGACCCTTGTAGTTTGCTGAGCTTCACACAAGGGTCTAGGTCTGCTTCATAGCGTATGAATTTCAGAAGGCAAGGCCTCGTAAAAAAATCCTTGTATGTGATTGGATAAACCACTTGTCTGTTATCTTGAATGACGTATTCCTTCAACAACTCGAAGCACACAATTCAGCAACACTGGCAATCCTGATTGGCCAATTATTTTGATTATTATTATTTTGATCTACCGAAGGAGTTTGCAATGCACTCGATCCCAGACCCTTGTGTTCAGCGAAACGCCTCTGGTGGAGCGTGGCGGAACTACAAGGGTCTGGCGAGAGTCAGGCTAGGTGAAGACATACAAATAAGCACACATTTGTAGATGCTCATGTGAAAATTTAAATTTGCATGTGCAAGGGTGTGTGTTTGCCTGCGTGTGTATCTGTGGGGTGCATGAGTAAGGCGGTAGACATTAATCAACATTACTGTAAATGTGTCCAACTGTGGTCACTAGGCAAGATGTAAAAGGCCAACATGATGTCTATCATGTTTTTTTTTCCCTTTTTGTTTCATCCTTTAATTTTTATTTTCTTGTCCTTTGTCTGTATACTGTATATGTCTGTATGTATGTAAGGATTATGTTTAAAAACGCAATGAAAATAATGTTTAAAAAAAATAACAAAAACACTTGTACTGTGTGGAATTATGAGGGAATACCTACAAAACTAATATAAAACCTATCTTTATCTTACAAAAGAAAGCCATTAGAGTGATCAGTCATGCCGAATACCTTGCCCCAACAAATCCACTATTTATTAGACATAATATTCTAAAATTGTATGATCTTATTCTTGTTGATATTTACACTGCAGCTGTGTTATACAAGGCTCACAACTTCATGCTTCCTCACTGTTTACAAAAGATGTTCCATACTAGAGAATGTAGCTACAGCCTCAGAGGAACTGATCTGCTTCAGAAACCCAGAGCAAAGAGTAATACTAAGAGGAGATGTGTATCAGTCAAAGGAGTTGATCTATGGAACAGTCTATCTGTTCAACTTAAGGGCTCAAGAACTATTAAAACATTCAAAAAAAAGTATAAGTCAAATATTATGGAGAAGTATAGGACAATTGAATTGGACTATGCTTAATAACTCGTGTTTATGGGAGTTCATGTTTTGTGCTTCATGTTACCATCGTTGGTATATGAGAATCTGTATATTGTGTCACCTATAATTTTGAACATGTATAACATTATTTTGATTTGTTGAAGTGCAATTTTTTGGTGCCTCATGTTACCATCATTGGTATATGAGAAACTGTATGTTGTGTCATTTACAACATCATGTATAACATAATTTTGAGTTGTTCAAGTGCAAGTTTTTGGTGCTTCATGTTGCCGTTGTTAGTATATGAGAAACTGTATAATTTGTCATCTTTGGACGTATTTTCACATTGTATTAGGGGTTAGGCAGTATAAGTTTCGACTTCAGCCTAAACCCTTTCGGTCAGGTATTGTTTCGCACAAGGTCCTTTATCGACACATTTTGGTTCTTTTTTTCATTTTATTTTTATTTTCTTGTTGTAAAAACTAAATGTGAGCTCTGTATCCGTGTGACCCGAGGTCGGGTGTACATATTGACCGAAGAAAAAAATAAACTAACTAAAAACTAACTAAACTTTTACCATCACAATCAGCCGTCTCAGAGTTGAACTTGAACCCTGCTTTGCACAAACACAAATACGACCCATCGGTGTTGACGCACTGGCCCCGCATACACACGTCCTTACTGCACTCGTCCACATCTGCAAGGAATACAACAGGGGAAAGATAATTGGAAAGGAGATTAGGACATATTAATAATCACTAAATACCTCAATATAATTTGTGCGTTTTGTGAAGTCCACAGGGAACAGTGCATATGTGTAATCAAGCAGACAAGACGCATCGGCCAATTGAAGCACTTAACGGTTTGCTGACAAACAGGAAGCACAAGGAGAACGCTTATGTACGTCATCTTCTTGGGATTAGACAATTCCGTTTGAATGGTAGAATAAAATAATGAATGCTATATGCTTGATTAGCCGTGAAATGCTTGTGGATAATTGCAGCATTACTCCATGTTGTTACTTTGACCAAAAGGAAAAATATTGCAGAGGTAATGTTTGTCTTCCTTCTACAGCTTGTGATAATTGGAATCTTTGGGAGACCGAAAGGTAAAAGAACATGAGGAACAAGAGGAAAAAATGCATACAGACAAAGAGTAAACTCATAAATATGCTCTGAGAAGATAGTTTTGGCTTGGATGCAAGAACTTCAAAAACCTTTAATTAAGGTCATCAAATCCTCTATTTGGTTTGAGGCGAATAGACCAGCAAAACATCATGGTTGAAGGCATTCCAATAAATACATGTACGAATACATGTACATATTTAAAAAACGTATGTGAAATGGCCTGTTTTGGAGTTTGTGGACCAGCCGAAGTAATATTTTCTTTTGTAGATTTTCATGTCCTGTTTTGCTGTATTTGTTTTATTGAAAATATACAGAGTTGGATCTGACATAAATGTTTTGCCTCTGCAGAGACTATTAGACCGGTTAGTTTTATCTAAGGGCTCTATGCACGCACCACTTCCGCGTTTTAGTTAAAACAACACTTGACTTTTGGTGCGCGGGGATTGGCTTGCGTTTCCCTGTAGTTCACCAGATGTTTACAAGAGTTTCCTAAATAATGCTCAAACAGGAATTAAACTGAGGATGCTGGGCATTTTTGGGAGACAGCAGTGCTCTTTGATTGTGCTGTCATTGTGCTTTTATAAAGTTAACTAATCTCTCTGAGTGGCCACAATCAAAAGCTATTCCTCAGAGAGAAAGCACGTCAACACTTTTGGGTCAGTCTCAGCTGAATGTATCAATCTAATTACTAAAAACATCACTACCACTCACCACAATGCCATAGCGATAGCATAGACAGGAAGTAAAGGAGCCGTTCTTTGTTAACAGGAAATTACGTCACAACTCCCCATGCATATAGCTCATTGATGAGTTGTTGCAATAGTAATCCTGTCCTGCTTTACATGGACGGCAGTAAAAGATTGTTGTTTGGCAGTGATTGCTGCTGTGAGTCTGTGGGCAAGGGCCTTAAGCCACATTGCCCCCAGTGAATTGGGTGTGAATGGTTAATTGGTTCCTTGATGTAAAGTGCTTTTAGCGTCTCGAAAAGGTTGAAAAGTATGTCTTCAAAGTGTTCTCAAATGAACCAAAAACAATACTTCATATTTCATTCTCTTAGTAGTAAAATAGAAGCAGCTTTGTCCCAGACCAAACATAATTTATAATTCACTGAGCTCAGGGCATCTGTCAACACAGTAAACTCACATGCCCTTGCACCCGTGTGGAAGGGATCTGGCTTTAATTGTGCCACAGAGGCAGACTGCAAGAAGATGTGTGACAAGTGCTGATTTATTTAATAATTAGAGGTCTGTATTTGTAATGGCGGATAGCCAATGGGCAGATTTGTATATCTGCTGTCCTTAGTCGGTCACCTGCTTGTGTGACAGGGAGTAAAAAAGGCTTCACATCAGAGCACTGTTCATCAACATGCCAAACATTGTGTAATTTTTCATTTCTTACACACAAATGAGGTTTTAAAACTTACTTGTTTCATATAGCTTGACAGAAAATGCCTTGGCGTCTTTTAGAAAAATGCTCCTTTATTCAAGACTTTTATGGTGCTATGACTATTGGGTCACAGGGCGCGGCTGGATAAACATCAAACTGAAGGGGAGAGGGATGAGACAGCGGATTTGGACCATTTGAAAGAAACGCTGTTCCTGCCAGAGGTCAGAGATAGCACTGCACAAACGCGGACGGATGAGGAGAAACGTGTGTGAATTCAAACATCAACCAGCCCTGAGCATTATTATTACTATTGTGACATTTGTTATGGTATGATGTCAGTTGTAAAGAGCGTTTCCATACGTTTGTGGAAAAGGATACAGTGTATATGAAGCACAAGATTGCGTGTTTGCAGATCCAACTGCAAATTTTCCGGTAACTTCTCAAACTTCTAAGATGTTAAATAAAAAACTTTTGGATATAGTATGTAGCTAAAACAACAGCACTCAATCTTTCTTGTTTAACTATTAGAATTGGTTTGTGAAAAACTGATTTGACCCAGGGCTTGGCAAAAACAATCGGTCTTTGTGAAAGTGAAATCCAATCACGATTCCACCCACAAACAGGTGCTATGATGAAGAGATAATGTGTGTTATTAAATGAATGTATGCTTGACTGGTGAAACCAACCAGCATCATTCCAGTTTTCTCATTTCCTGTCTATCTATACCATCACCCAAAGACATTACATATATAGCAACATCTCTCACAGGCATGCCTCACCCAATTACAGCAAATCCTATAATTCTAAATGTTTTTCCACTGACTTTCCTTCCTGCTGCTGTGTGGTATGACTATACAGTACCCTGGCAGCCGCGTCTGCCTTCCATGGTGGTATATCCATCAGGACAGAGGCAGATGTAGGAGCCGGGCGTGTTCTCACAGCGTCCCTCTCCACACAGCCCAGCCGCCCGTGTGCACTCGTCGATATCTGGGACAGCAAGAAGAACACGACTGCCAACATGAGGTAATGGCAGGAAGCAGGTCACCAGTGCTGTGTGTCATGGTGGGTGTCCACACAAGGGCAAGTATTTTTACCTTGGCATAGCGTCCCGTACACCAGCTCCAAGCCGCTGGGACAGGAGCAGCTGAAAGAACCAGCGGTGTTTGTACAAAGGCCGCCTCTGCAGGTCTGAGGATCGTCACATTCGTTCACATCTAAATGAAATTGAACCATTGTAAACGACGGATGTTTGGCGACGTCACTCATAATTAGGGATTAGAGATTCAACTCCAAGGGGTGGAATATGATCTCTTTAGTGTATTTACATTTGAATTGGACAAAAAATAGCATATTTTTCAGAAACTAAGAAGCCATAAAAGCAAGCTATTGAACAGCCTGTCTGTTCAATAGCTTGCTTTTATGGCTTCTTAGCTTACATACAATACAATTGAACAGCCAAAATGTTTTCTCTCATTGTGTATCATCCCAACCTTACTCGTCATTCACAAGTTTCAAGCTAAAATGTTAAGATAAGGCAGTGGTAGTGTCAGAAAAAGGCCTTGGCAAACTAACAAGATAATAATAAAAAAAATAATTAGGTGGTGGGACCACGGGAAGATGGCTGCTCCGTCAACAATGACACAACCTTGATCTTTCAGCGGGGGCTTCGGGCAATGTGTGGTTAAATGTCTTGCCCAAGGACCCAATGACAGCAGACTTCAGTGGGAGCAGTTAGAGGAGGTCTCGTGGGGGGATTGAACCTAAAACCTTCAGGCCCAAAAGCCAATGCTCTACCAACTGAGCTACTGTTGCCTTTTTAACTGTAAAAGGCAAATACAATGAATTGGAATCCCCCATTGCCTAAATCTCTCCACTGCTCTTTCCGAGACCATGTCCCTCTGTACCCCGTTGACAAAGTGGTGGACATTTAAAGAAATGTTGTGCCTGCTGCTCTTTAAGGACTTAAACACTGGTCTTTAGTCTGATTGGATGGATGACACACAATGCCAGAACACAGGTGCAACTCAGAAGATTGGAATATTGTTCTAAAGTCAATTTAGTTGTGTTATTCAACTCACAACGTGAAACTAATATATGACTCATTACATGCAAAGTGAAAAATATCAAGCTCATTTTTTACAGACCAAGGACACACGAAGCGCTTTAGAATTGTTGAGAGTTCAGATATTTTCCATTCACTCCCCTTTTGGTGAAGAAGGAAGCGAGACGCCAAACACACTGGCGCAACAAATCTCTCAACCAACACCGTACATTCACTCACTCATTACCTATTGTACCTGTTTTTTGTTTTTATAGGGAGGGGAAACTGGAGCAACCAGAGGAAACCTACCCAGACACAGGGAGAATATCAAACTTCCAGAACTCTTGCTGTAAAGCACAATCTCTAACCACCGTGTCACAGAAATAAATGAACCTTACGCCAATATTCTAATTTTCAGTGTGTAAGTGCTACCATTGTCTGTACCTTCACAGGAGAATCCATTGGCTGAAGCGGAGTAGCCCGGGTCACATGTCATACAAGAGAACGAGCCCTCTGTGTTGGTGCAAACGCCCATGGGACAAACTCCGGGGGTCAGGCACTCGTTGATGTCTACAATATTAAAAATGCAAACACACAAAACTTTTTTAATAAGTATTAGTAATTTTTTCCTGAAAGTGATCTCCTAAACAAAGTGCAATGGAACTGACATGTATCAAGCTTGAAGTAGATTGCACTGTCTTATTAAAAAGAGTGGAAAGATAAGTATGCAGAACGGCCATCAGGTCCACAAAGGCAAGCAGGTGCCATTTAATCTGTGAATCTACAAACAGTCATTGCCTCCCTGCGATGTGATCACTGGACATTCTTTGAGAGTCTGGGGGGATTGCGTTTCTTAAGCTGCATAGAGTGTGGGTTATTGTTGAATCGATGAGACAGCTCACTTCTGCCTCAGAGAGAGAGGAGCCAGCTCGGCAACATGGACACCTAGGGAGTGGTTGACTTCATTTCAAATTAAAGCGTTAATATTTTCCATGGCACCGGACGCCTTCATTAAAATCCTATCAGCGGCCATTGTTGGCTTGTTTTATCAAACTTCTTCCCGGAGTTTGGACAGATTTCGGTGAGGGATCTTCTCTAGTGCTTCTCCACGCTTTCATTAAAAACAACAGTGTGGTGTATATGACTAACTGAGCCTATTTAAATAACCATTCCTCCTTCAGCTTCCCATGAAGTCATGACAGATCCAACCTCCCTGGATCCCTCCAACCACCGCTTCACTACATACATCTCATGAATCATGTCATTATGAATTACAGAACACCATATGATTTTAAGTAAGAGATAGTGCACTGGGTCTTTTCCTTTTCAATGTAAACTCAATCTAAGGTCAAATCTAATATCTAAAATTGCAATTCCTAGTTGTTTGAATCTTATTTTATTCAATATATCAGGGGTATCAAACTCATTTGTAATAATGAATACATCCTAAACCTGGATGAACTATTCCAGTTTTAATGCAATGACCTATTTATTTTGGAATTGGACCAAACAGAGACTTCAAAGCACTTCTGCACTTTTCTGTTGTATGTTTTTTTCTGTAATGATCCTATTTTATTTCCCTTGGGACAATAACGTTTATCTTATCACATCTTATCTTGCACCTTCACACTTCAAAATCCATAAGACACGTACCTTCACACATTTGACCGTCAGTGGACAGCTGTAGACCGACTCCACAGCTTCTGCAAAAGTATCCTCCTGGACTATTGAGGCACTCCTGTCCTGGGCACACATTACCCTCCAGGCATTCATCTACATCTGAAAAAGAACACTAGCTTTACATCAATTCTGCCAAATAATCAGTCAACATGGCAAAGGCAAAGACATAAAACTGGATGCATTGTCAACAATGTGGGTTCTAAGCAGTAATCATCATTTTCTTTATTGGGAATCTCAGCGAACAAAGGTTATGCATTATAAAAAACAGCTATGATGTGATGTCTGAGGAGCTTCCATTTTCTGTGATTAGATCATTATCAAGCCATGCATTATACAATCCAGGAGATGAACTGGCTCACCATCACACTGTGCACCATCATCGGAGATTTTGAATCCAGGCTGACAGGCAAGACAGATGAAAGAGCCGTCAGTGTTGGTACATGTTCCCTGTGGGCATGAGAGGGGAAGTCTGCACTCATCAATATCTAAAAGTCAATCATAAAAAACAACATGGTTATTACATAGAAGACTGAAGTGAATACAATATACAGAGGGGCGAAAATAGAGCCACCAATTAGTGACCAGTTTATATATATAACACATTTTACAGACACACTGTCACCCAAAGCACTTTACAATTTTCAGAGTTCAGATATTGTTCCAATCATTCCAAACCTGGCGATGATGGGGGCGCATCAGAGCTCCCAATTAGCACCATAAATTCACTCTCTCTCGTTTACATTTATACCTATTGTGTACTTAAAAGATGAGAGATGCCTATTCAATTCAATATATTTTTGTATAGCCCTAATTCACAACAGTAGTAATCTCGGAGCACTTCACAAAACCGTTGAATTCACCAACTCAGATCAGAGAATCAAACAAATCAAACACAAGAAACATGGACTTTCAAAATAAATCATTTGATGTGATTTTCAGGATATTTCTTCTCATTTTGTTTTTCAAATTTGAGGTGTATCTTTGACCAAAATTACAGGCATCTTTCATCTCTTTAAGTTGAAGGACTTAGCTGGCTGACTAAACACTTTTTTGCCCCACTGTAAGTTGTGAAAAAGCCACCTTCACACAGCTCTCCATCATATGAGACGGTGTAGCCTGAGGGGCAGTTCTCGCAGGTGTAGGAGCCCTCCGTGTTCAGGCAGATCCCATTGGCACAGGTCGACAGTGACTGGCACTCATCGATATCTGAGCACAAATAAAGAATGAGCAGCAAGTAAAGGCGAGGGCAGGACATATGGGAAAGGACAAAAGTTACCTTCACATCTCCTGCGGTCTGAGGAAATCCTATATCCAGCTTTACACCTGGTGCAGGTGTAAGAGCCCTCTGTGTTTGCACAGATTCCTCCCTGACACACATCTCCCTGCGCACATTCATCCACATCTGGAAATAAAGACCACTTTTCAACAAATCTGCACACAGTAATTAATAATTCATTCCAGAGTTTGTTTAAAGTTCAGATTGTGTAAATCATTAGGGGGTTCCATACCTTCACATCTGAGTCCGTCCACAGAGGGTCCAAAGCCAGGTCTGCACTGTTGACAAGTGAAGGAGCCCATTGTGTTGAGGCAGAGGCCTGCGGGGCACACGTCACCAGCTGCACACTCGTTCACGTCTGAACACAAAGGATTCACCATGATGAAGCAGCCACAAAAACATCATTACAGATGACAGTCTAAAGATATGGACAAGCATTTGCAGACCTTCACAGGCTTTAGTGTCAGATTTGACTTTGTAGCCATGGTTACAGCTGCACTTGAAGGATCCATTGAGATTGGAGCAGCGTCCATAGAGACACACTCCTGGACGCACACACTCGTCCACATCTGCACAGAAGATAAAGTGAGTCCACAGTGGACCATAAACTCTTTCAAAATACAGAAATAATAACATTGAACATTACCTTGGCAGGTGTTGTCTGATGACAGTTTGAATCCTTGGAAACAGTTGCACCTATAGGAGCCCTCAGTGTTGACACACCTTCCATTACTGCAGACAGTTAGGTTCAAGCACTCGTTCACATCTGTGAGGAAAGGTCAAAGGAACAATAAATTAAAATACATCCTACTGTCCTGGCGAGGACACAGAGCTGGGAGAATAGATCAAAAGAGCATTAGATTTGCAGGAAACTCTAGGAAAGCCTTAGCATTACAAAGAACATCAGACTCAAAGTTTCAAAATCCACCGGCGAATTGATTCCATGTAATCACAATGTTACAAGAAACCTGAGCAGAAAAAAGCTCTTGCAACACAATATGTATTATCTTCTTCTGAGTACAAATGCTTGGAGCATAATTAACATAACACCAGTCCGTAGGTTACATCAGCAGATCTTTATGTCTCATGGACTGGAAAAGTCCATGAGTCAAACTGTTGACCGTGTAATTATGTTGCCAATAAACAATGTTTTATAGAGGAATATATCTGAGTGTTAACAGATTTATAGTCAGGTGAAGGTGCAAAAAAGGAAAGAGGGAAAACAAATTATCTTAATAATGTGAACTGAAAGTAGGAAGAAAATTATTTAAATAAAGTAGCATTGAAGATTATTAAATACATGGAAACACTTGTGTGTAGAAGGAAAAAAAAAACATTGTCAATACTTTTTCCATTCTTTCCTATCCTTTGACAATTAGGTCTAGTTTAGTAGTTTGTCACGCTGTATGGAGTGAATGAGTAATTGTAAATGCTCTCCGGGATCAGCCAGGGGCCTGCTATAAGGATTGGTGGCAGCTCTGATGTCACCCCCTGACCGGGGATGAAAATGAATGAATGAATGAATATGGCCAGGGGCTTTGTCAGGATTTGACGCCGGATTTTAAGCAATCATCCATCATCAGCATGTCCTTTTCGATAATCCCTGACAAGGCAATGGAGCTGCTTTTCTATCACACCAACAATTAGTTTTATCCCTGGTTTGTTCACTTGGCCCGTAACTAACCACTGAGCTGCTGTGTATTGGCTGAGACAGATCCTGGAAGCCAGCTCCTACTGTTTAATGTGAGTCCCGCTGTGCCAGACGTATACTATAGAGCAGGTCTTTGAGCTGCAGAGCAAAAACATTTACCTTCCATTGGTTTCCCTTATATAGCCTGGTTCCTCTTGTTTGACTATTTAAAGACCTTTTCAGTGGGAGGAAAAACACAAGAGGATTTATGAAAACGAAACTCAACAAATTCATGGGACCACCAAAAATAGAAGGCATCACCAATGATGTGTTTCAATCAGTGTCAGGGCCACTTAACAATAACTTCTGAAAACCAGTAGCTTTGCTGAAGCCGTTTTTCCATCATGCCTGCATGCTCCGAGTTGAAGCCTTTTCACATCTCCAGAAAATTCAGTGCGGGAGCTAGGGTTTCCAAACAAATTAGCAGAGCTGAAGGTCAGAGAGAGGGGATGTGGCCAGTAACTGGAATAAGGCTGTTATGTAACTACGGTATACTAGGTGCACAGGGTATTTCACAACTACTAAAAGTATGTACTAAAAAAATATAAACTATTGTCATGTTGATAACAGTTGAAAGTGCCGAGGATAACTATTGGCATTGGCTACAGATGTCTAGCTTTGTAGACTGTAGCAAAATAGAAAAGGCCAGAAAAGGCCAAGACACAATATTTGGAGTCTTCCATGTTGAGGTATTATAAACAAAACCTTGCTTCTGAAACTGGAAAATCAAGAATAACATGATTTAATAATAGAGAAGTCAAAGTAGATAAAAACGTGGGTAAGAGAACGCACAATGTACCAATCATCACTGTGGTTTGGACGTCTCACACAGAGGACAATACTCATTAGGCCTTTTGAAAAGTAACAAAATACATACATTTGTTTAAACACCTCAAACAGTGGGCAATTTTGGTAAAAATATTTAACCTCATGTTGTGGTAGCAGCAAAGCTGTTCTGCATCATGGGATCTCGACACATCGTTAACAGCCTGTGTGTTTGCAACGTTGCTATGGATGACTTTTTTTAATACACACCAATAAAAGTAGTTTGGTCAACGTAAGTGTTACCAAAATCCGGAAGCTTTAGGGATAGAAGAGGAAAAGCCTGAGTATTTCCATTCTGTGGGAGATGGCTTGGCCTCAGATGCAGTAGTACTTGAGCTGAATAGTGGTGTCGTCTTACCCACACATCTGTCACGGAGCGGCCTGAGCCCCGGGCCGCAGCCCTGGCACAGGAAGGAGCCCTGCGTGTTGACACATACACCTTGAGGACAGGAGCTGGGGTCTCGGCATTCGTCCACATCTGCCCAGGGCACAGAACAGCACAAGGTGACACTCAAAAGATGCATCAGCAGAAAGCACATGTGGAGATCAAATCAATTTATATTTATTGCCTATAATCATAATCCATTACCAATGGATTATGATTATAGTACTTGCATTAATGAATGCAAGTACTACTGTTTGGACAAAATGACTTAAAATCCACTCCATTCCAAAATATTGCAAAATGTTTATGCCAAGGGGAAAGACTATACAAAACACATAGTTTGAAATACAGTAAATAAACTCTATTACTCTATATAGTGAGCCAGGTAGATATATATTTGCATTCTGAGTGACATGACTTTCCCCGACAGTAGTTACCTTCACAATGGCCTCTCCAGGACCTGGCATATCCAGTGTTGCATTCACAGGTGTAAGATCCTTCGCTGTTCACACATTTGCCATTTTGACACTTATTGGGCACGTTGCACTCATTAATGTCTGCCAGTGTAATGGAAACCAGAGAGAAAGAAAAAGAATGTGACTTATATTCACAAGCCTTCATGACAATATTGGACAGGCTGCTTTGCACAGGGTTAAACCTGCTTTCCCCAGCTGCATAGGAGAGACTAGTGACAGCCTCACCTTGACAGTACTTCCTGTTCTGGGTGATCACCTGGCTGTAGCCGCTGTAGCAGTGGCAGGTGAAGGAGCCAAAGCTGTTGATGCAGCGGCCTTTTCCTTCACATGGGTCTTCGTCACATTCATTCACATCTGCAAACATTGATTTATGAGTAATATTAGACTCCAATCAGCAGCTTTTTACCATCTGACAAACATTGTCAGAATAAAAAATATAATGTCTGGATACTTGAAATATCTATCCTGCATTTGCACTCTCCAGTAAGTTAGACTGTAATGGCCAGCTCACTGGTCCCTCCAAACTAGTAGTAAAACAGCTGCAGTATATTTAAAACGCTCCAACTCATGTCCTGGCTAGAACAAGGAAGTACAATGACATTTATAAAGGTCTCAGGTCTATGCACTAGCTTCCAGTAGCTCAGAGAATACGTATACTTTAAAGCAGCTCTGCTTGTCTGCATGGCCGCGCACCAAAGTACATCTGTGACATGTTAGTGTCATATGAACCAACTCTGAGGAGCATAGGCACTGGCCTCCTGCTGGTGCCCAGAGTCAGGACTAAAAATGTCCGATCTTTGCAACAAAATTTTGGAACAATCTTACTGAAAATATTAGACAAAATTCTAAAAATAGTTCTGTTTAGCTGTGCATATGAGTGTGATTATTTATCATTTCAATGCTTGTTTTGTTAAGCACTATGAGTTGCCTTGTGTATGAACTGTGTTATAAATTAACTCGCCTCGCCTTGTCTTGATGTTTTTTTGTTATGTGCTGTTACATTGAATGATTATTCCAAGACAGTTTAGTTGTGAACAGTATGAATTAGGAGTGGGAACCTAAGGGTACCTCACGATACGATACAATACACGATACAAAGCTCACGATAACGATATTATCACAATAACAATTTTATCACGATATGAGGATTATCGATATATTGGTCAGCAATATACAATATGCCAATTTATGGCATGAATAAAAGAAAAAATACACTTTATTTCATGATAAATGGAATGGAGATACGTAATGTAGCCATACAATAAGTATTGATACCAATAAAAAAATTTTTTTTTTTCAAAATCGATATCGATACTTGGCAAATGCATATTGATAATCGAATCGCGGGAGAAAGTATCGCGCACACCCTAGTATGAATGATTATGTTGTATCGTTACAGTACTGAGTAGTGTATTTTACATGTCTTTCTGAAATAGGAGCCAGGGACCAGCTCTGCCCCGGGACAAGGCCATCACCATGAAGCATTAGCTCTTTGGATTCCGTTAACTGTTGGCAGGCAACGCGGCACAGGTCAGCTAAAAAACAAACAGATCCTTTCCACTTTGGCACACTTGTAGTTCTTATGGCTTTTGAATATTTTGCAGATTTGTCACTGAGACGATGAGAGACAGAACCCCTGGTTTCTGTGCCTGTCTGTGTGTAGCTTATTAGTGGCTGCAGAGTATTGCGAAAACTCTAAAATCACTGGAGGAAACCTTCACTCTTTGTGGGAGGAAAAGGTGCTGCCCAGGGCTCAGACAAAACATACTCTGATCGCTGACTTTGTCATGAGGCCTTCAGGGCGTCATTTTATTTCGCCCTCTGCTTATAATTGTTTGAATTCTGAACAAGGGGTTCTGTTTTGTATTGTATTGTTTTAACTTATATTGAGGGTTGGTGTAAAGTCAGTGTGTGTGTGTGTGTGTGTAGAGTCAGTGTGTGTTTGTGTAGAGTCTGTGTGTGTTGGTGTGTAGTCTGTGTCTGTGTGTGTGTAGAGTCTGTGTGTTAGTGTAGAGCCTGTGTGTTCTGCTCTGAGATTCTGCTGCAGATAATAAAGTTTTCTGAATCTGAATCTTATCCTCATTTCTTACCAATACAGTTGGTCTGCAGAGCACTGAGCTTAAAGCCTGGGTTGCAGTCACAGGTGTATCCAGTTTGCACAGAGATACACTTCCCATGACCACAGATGTTAGGGGTGGTGGCACACTTGTCAACATCTGCAACAGAGCCACACATTACCTTCTAGAATAAATATTTAGGAGGGGTACAAAACCCTTGACCAAGTTACATAATTTTCTGCTGAGAAAAAAAAGAAAAGCAACATTCCTATAGCCTATGTTGAGAAAGTGCCTTGCTGTTTTATAACCTTAGTTTTGGATGAAAAAGCAGGTTTACAGGACTGTGATGGTCCAACAGGTGCAAAGTAGAGTTTACATTGGGACGGCAAGTAAAATGTCATGCGCATTAGCGCCTGACCCTGGTGGTGTTCAAGTCTTTTACTCCAAATGATCTGTGGTGCTGATACATTCCTCTGTGAAGAATATGTTCCTGAGTATGTAACACATTCATATGTAACACATTCAGACAGACAAGGAATGTTTTTTTTGTTTTATTAGAGTTGTTCCTTGCCGATGCAGGATGGTCCAAGGACAGTGGTGATGATCAATACACTCAACATTCAACAAAATGTATGGAAATGTATCAACATTTATGGTCATTGGTCATCTGCCCTGTAGGGCCCAGTGGCTCTATGTGTTTTTTCTCATTGCATTTCTTGTCTTTCTTTTCAATTGTATTTTGAACTGTTTGAGTCCCCGATCTGTGTTGGCGAATTCAACGGTTTTGTAAAGTCCTCTGTGAGAACAACTGTTTAGGGCTATACAAATATACATATATACTTGATTACACTTTTGATAATAGACTTTTTTTTAGAGCATAGTATTGTAAAATTCAGACCACTTTACACTGTCTGCATCTAATGAAAAATATGTTATTGATTACTGGTTCCTGGAAGAAGGACTGGGTGGCCCATACTGTTTTACAAGCTTCAAGTGAATACTAGTGGTATGTCAAATGGTTTAGAAAAGCTTGTTAAGTTTGAGTCGTTACGTTTGAAATTTCTTGCCTTTTGTCAGTTTTAAAACCAGTTTTTTTATGTGGTCGATGTGGATATTGGACTATTTCTACAGTTGCATGCATTTTTCTGTCCTGTATGTACAAATTTGGACGAAACCTTTGGCAGGTAGATAGTAGAAAATCTATATTACAGTTTCCCACTTTCCAATCTGGCTTTGTTGCACACTAAACCAGTGGCTCCTCTTCCAAAGGCACACTGGATCTTTGTGTCTCGCTCCCTGAGAAGCATCTTGACCTGAAGCCAAACTGGCGTCGAGAAATGAACTCGAATACAAGGACAACACAGGCCCTTCCTAGTCAAACTTTAGGTAATCCTGCAAAAATGTCTTACAAAATATGTCCAAAATAGAAAAGATGAGGTCTTTATGTGGCCTGCCATGACGGAACTTGTCTACAAGAGCCAAACAAAGGAGTGTGCGTGTTGAAGCCTTTTGGTTACCTGAGTCACTTCTGTCCTTTGAATCGGGCCTCTGGATGTTGATTGTTGAGTCTATAAAAGAGGAGTGAGTGAGTGGACAAAGACGACAAACAAACTTTATAAGAACGTGGCTTAAAATGCTCCGCTTGTTATGCTAACAACTCCAAAGTGGACACACAGCTATTTATACATCCTCTGTCCCTGGTTCGCACACACACACTGAAAGGTCGGATAATCAAAACAAACTGTGTAGATGTGTAGACAGCGTTCATCAATATTGTGACTATTGTGTGGCGAATGCTTTAGTGAAACAGGCAAGACAAACTAAACAAACACACACAACACATAAAGACTCATGTCCTTCTTCTACAGCTAACTTTGGCCTGAACCGATGTGGGGCTTGGAAATTATGGACGACAAATTCTTAGGCCATAGATTCATATTTCAAGATTTTCGATCAGCCCTACAGGAATGTCCCACAGTCCAGCATCAAATTTTTCTAAATACATTGTGTAGTATTTATTTGATAACAATCTCGTCTCTCCACATATTTGAGTTATAACTTGCCGATGCAGGAGGAAGGACATCCACAATCGGGGAATTTAGGGACATTTATCAACATTTACGGACATTGATCATCCTTCTCTGTATATGATACAAATGGCTCCTATGTGTTTGTTATTTCCCGTAGTCGAACTGTTTGATGCTCTGATTTGTTGTTAGTGAATCGACAACTTTGTAAAGTCCTCTGAGATTACTGCTGTTGCAATTTGGGCAACACAAAAATAAAATTAATTGAATTGATTTGACTTGGCCTGTTATTTTGTTACATACTGGCCACAGCTAGAGAAGTGTGGAGGATAATTGAATTGTTTCCAAAAAGACATTTTTTTGAGAAAACACGTCATCTCACAGAGCTCTAACTTATCAAGTCATCACACGTCTAACTTATTAAGTCATCACTCGTGTCCACTTCTCTGGTTATTCATTTAAGTTTAAGTTTGTTTCTTTCTTACGGTTCATTACCTATAAGTTTCTTTTGTCTCAAATATTTACAAGAGTTCCGTGCATTATTCATAATTAGTGTATGCATCAATGAAGCAGAAATAAATACCTGGATATTTTAGCGGTGAGTCGGTCACAACAGCTGGCTAGAAAACAGCACGTATATCGGTTAAATGACATATTAATGAGGCTGGCTTCTGTCATGCAAGTCATTACTGGTAGAATGCGTGTATGCAGTGAAATGTGGTCTGAATAAGTTATGCAACCAAAACAGAACCTCCAGCTGAGAGAAAGAGCGTATCGCAGAAAGATAAACATGTCAACCGCGTGTGCCTCCAGCCGCAGCAGCAGAACTCACCGGGATCAGAGTTTCCACATCTGTAAAGAGAGAAACATTCTGTTCATGTTCACAAGTTTATCTACACAACGCAATCCAAGAACATGAAAGCGTGTCTCTCTAATGGAGGTCTTTATTTCTAAAACAGTTTGCAAGAACACTCATTCTGCATTGTTTCATTGTTGGGAAGACTGAGAGATGCAGGGAGTGTTTTGGATTTAAAAAAATGCCTAAATATTTGCATGAAAACCCTCCTTAAACAAATCAAACACACAATTTCCAGCCAAGAAAGTGTTTCCTTGCCCTTAAATCAGAGAGACAGACGAGCTGAGAAATTAGGGGAAATCTGACGGATGAGAAGCATGCATGGGTTGAAAACAGGATGAGGCATTAGCGTATGTAAATATACAGAAATATGAGAGATAGAACATGTCCTAGCATAGGGAGTGGCCTCCTGCTGGTGCTATAAGCAGATTTATGCAGCTAAAATCTAGTATTCTTGCAGGAAATGTGAGAACGGCATCTATTTTTCTTTTTAAATTGATTATTACAAAATTAATGTAATATGATTCATGTTGCACTTGTTTTATGAAGTCCTTGTTTACTTTACGTGTATGAATACTGTCACTTTTCTAATAGGTCTGAGGTCGGCTTGTCTCCATGAAATTGCTATTGATTTCCATCAAAAAGTTCCACAACATTTCGAAATTGGCATCTTAATCCATGAAAAAGTTACATTTGTGGGGATGTGAGAATCCACTCAATGGAAAAAGTGCAATATTTCATATACGGTACACTAAAAGAAAGAAAGGAAATTGTATTGTACATTCATACTCAAATATGCTGCAAGACTTGTAATACCAATAATAATACATTTCATTTATATAGCACCTATGGACTGCATCATATTGTGTTCTTCATAAAGATTAATAATAATAATACTACAGTGACTTTGTTTGAACTGTTTGATTCTCTGATCTGTGTTGGTGATTTCAATACTTTTTTTAAGCCCTATGAGGTAACTACTGTTGTGATTTAGGGCTATACAAGAAAAAATGTAATTGAATAAAATTTGATTCATAATAATTATAATCATAATTTCCACAAACAGGTTAAAATACAATACAGCAAACAAAAACAACATCAAAAGTACATTTGGGCAAGTATTTAAAAATGGATGGATTTTGGTGTTACTAAACTCACCCTCAGTCTGTTTGGGAGTGCCCTTGTCCACAGAGGGTGGGTAGGGCAGGTGTGGCGTGGCCGGCTGCCGTGGTGCCTGTGGTGTCAGGGGGTACACCGGATGCTGTGGTCTCTGCGGAGTGTGTGGGTGACTGGGGTAATGGCGAGGCAGGGAGGGGATCTGGGGGTGATTGGGGCTTTCCTCCTCCCAGGACAGCCCTGTATTCTGCAGCTGGTCATCGTCGAGCTGCCGGACAGAGAGCTGCACATCAGAGCGAGAGTACGTGTATCCGTGACCCACTGGACAGATCTCCTTGAAGTGGTCTGCAGAGAGCCAGACAGACAACACAAGGCAGGGTTTGAACACAACTGGACCTTTTACATTTGATTATAACCATGTGACGCTATAAAAACCTGAGCATGCCTTTAAAAACAACTGAGACTCAATTACTTAAGTCTTTTCACACAGACAGAGATCACTGAGAGATATTTTGGTACCATTGTATTGATCAGTGACGACTGTTTTGTAGTGTGTGGAATCTGACCTGCATGTTCTGGCTACTGAACAAGGCATAACTTGGCAATTTCCATATCAATACAAGATGCATATCATCCATCACAATATCAAATACCAAAGTCCATTCATATAATATTGCTGGTATATACAGACTAACCAGCTGAGGACCTGAGCATGCTTTTAATGCCAACCTTAGATATTTAAGTCTTTTCATACAGACAAAAGATCATTGAGAGATTTTGGTACCCTTGTACTGATCAGTGATGACTGATTTGGGAGGTGCTCCATTAGGACTGTACCTAAGATTAAGAGATCCTTTATTCTTCCCACAGTGGGGGAATTTCAGATAATAAATAAAGATCCTTTTGATAAATCAAGTGGATATCATCAGCCGTTACCTTTGTTTATGATATTTTTATCTAAATTTGACACAAGAAAAGGCTTGTATTGTGAAGTCAAGTCGCGCTGTTTAGATACATAACATTTCCAGACAAAATGTTCCCTTCATCTCAGCACATGTGTCGGAGTCTGTAAAAAAGCAGTAATAAGTAAAATTGTTGTAGATTGATCATTGTGTAATAGTTGTGATTATTTGTAACAGCCCTAATGTGTATTTATGCCTGTGATATTTATATATTAGCCTATAAATATGAATAATACATCTAACACCAAGCAAGAAAGAAATATTCATGGGAAAATTTGTCTCTGATTTAAAATGTTGTTAACATGAATTTCCAGTGCCTTTTGAATCATGTAGCTGGATTTGGGACACTTCGCTTTGTCACTGTGAACTATTGATAAGAGCTTAACAAAAGTCAGCCCAACATTCAGAACATGTGACAAAGCGACAAAGAGCAGAAGGTCTTTCAGAAAAGGTATGTTTGAAGATGTAATATCCCAGTTGGTTTTTAAGGCAAAGCAGACATTTACCAGTGTATTGTGGCTAATATTTCATGCCAAGTAGTCCATAAAACTGGCTAGCATTGTGAATTTGATACTTTATCCTGCACATGTTAGGATTCAATTTCATCTCTGACTTATAAACTTTATAGTCCAGAAAGCTGTCACTACAACCCACCAGCGACAAATTCTGGTAGGATTTTTACATCCAAAGAAGCAAAAAACTTGTGGTCCAACGAGGGAATGCTTGGATCATGAAATGTAACCTTGACATTTGAACTGTGCAGTGCAGAACAATGTGAACCCGGGCTAATGGAGGATTGGCTGGCTAGATAAAAGGACCAGGACTGCACCTCTTTGTTGGTGATGGTGAATCCATTACAAGTGAGAAGCAGCCTGTCCTCCCACTGACCTGAAACCCACAGCTCAGCGGCAGAAAGAGTCTGCAGCAAGGATATCAGTAATGACAGATATGTGGTCCCTGTAAACGCTTGTGTAAATGCAGGAAATGTACATGATAGGCCACTGAATGATGAATTTAAAGTGCAACAGGGGAAATGGGGCTATATACGATCAGCCACCACATCTGAGGAAATGGAGTAAATTTGAAATAAGGGTCACTGGGCTCTTATTACTCTGTCGCCGGTAATAGTCTTGGCAGCATTGTCCTGAGCTCAAACAGGATTTCAGGATGCACAAAAGCAAGAGATTCGTTTGTAATCAGAGGCGCTGTGTCAGTGTGAATGCTGCAGAGGTCTGTGTGTGTGCACGTGTGTGTGTGAAATCTGAACTCTCACAAGACCCTGGCCATCACAGGCTACAGACACTCCATAAAACCAGCAAGATTATTTTACCAACATTGGAGATAAGATTGGTATGAACAAAGATGACCACTTCCCATGTTGCGTTTGGCTAAAGCTGTTTTCACTGGAGTTGTTTGTTGCTGCTCTCTCTCTCTGCGATAACACAACACAAACTCCCACATTCATGCAGCGTCCAAAACATGAAAATTGTTATGTTTCTGGTGTCCTTCCAATCCAAACAAATTAGATTATGTTGAAATGCTTTACGTGCCTTGGAAAAAGCAGGACATCCCCCAGAATATTTATTTATGTAATTATTTTGCAGCTTAAGCACAAAGTTTAATTTGACTTGGAGATCTGCATCGGCAGTTTATCAAAAGCCGGACCTTGTCAGACATTCTGGGATTCTGGTGTGTGCTTGGTGAAGGAAGGAGCTGGTGGCACATTGGCAACCTTTATTCCATCACTGTGTTTCTGTTAGGGTTAATACTGCACAATATAACGCAAAAAATATTGTCATTACGATAATGGCAACAGCAATCAAGCATTTCTCAAATTCATTAGATGGTTTTTACTTCGAACAATCAAGGACCACTCTATATGTGCACCCCTGAAAGTCTCATTTTGCCATTTGCTAGCTAGAGCACAGACTCTTGATCAACTAGATTATTGTCCAAGCAAATGGACAACAACAAAATAATACATATCTTGACCAGCTCCAAATTATGCAAAACAGAGCTGCATGAGGAGCATTACTGATTCATAGTTCAAGACCGGGCTTCAGCCGCTATATTTTGTTCAACCTGGAGAATATATAATAAGTAAAATAATCGCCATGTTTATATGGTTAGTTTAGAAATGATTTAGACTCCCGTGGGTTTGCCACTCAACAGGCCTCAAAGGGCGGTTGCTAATTGCCAGAGCATGCAATAACTTTTTATACAGAGCCATGAAAGGGAGGAATGCACTGCCACCCTCTCTTATAGAAATCCAGTATGCATTTAAAATTGAATGTAAATGCATACTTACACAAAATCTTTTTCAATATCTGTGTTGTCACCTGATTATATGTAATTTGTATTTTAATGGGTAGAGCAGCTTTCATATAGGCTCAGCTGCTGAGTATCCAAATATTAAACCAAACTAAAAATGGGTAGTTGTGTGGACACAACCTGACAGGAAAAGAGATGAATGCAAATGAGAACAGCCACGACTAATCTAAAAATACAGATTTGTAGGAGAACTCTGGCCTAAGGAGAGACACAAGCACTATGTCATGGTGGAATGGGGGTGGAAACATCATGCTTTGGGGCAGTTTTTCTGCAAATGGACCAGGACAACTGATCCTTGTACAGGAAAGAATGAATTGGGCAACGTATCGTGAGATACATTAAACCTCCTTCCATCAGCAAGGGCATTGAAGATGAAACGTGGCTGGGTCTTTCAGCATGACAATTATCCAATACACACCACCCGGGCAACAAAGGAGTGGCTTTGTAAGAACAATTTTGAGGTCCTGGAGTAGCCAAGCCAGTCTCCAGATCTCACCCCCATAGAAAATTCACCAAATACTTATTTTCCACCATAATTTGTAAATATATTCTTAAAAAAGTCACACATTTTCTGGATTTTCTTTTTTAGATTAGCAGAACTCGTAAAACGTACCAATGCTTCTACTGGGAGCAAGATGGCGCCGGGTCAGGGCGCCTCAGTAAGAGCTCTGGTGTGCACTGTCTGTTCTATGTTGTTTATATTCGTCTGTGATACACTTGCCACCGTGAAGTACGACCGAGAGACACTTCTCTACATTCGGGACCGAGCTTGCGGAGTATCGCAGGTCTTACCCAAACTGAGGAGCTTGGACTTCATTGAGTGCCCCACTCGTGAGGCCCGTTAAACATGGCAGGCGGGCCGCGGCAATGGCCGCGAACAGAGCGGGGGGACTGGGCGTCTCCACCGTGCTCTCCGCGGTGTGGAGCTGGGTACCGGGAGCCGACGTAGGATGCGCAGACACCGGGGAAAACGAGGCGGTCTGCTCGTGAGATGCCGCTCCTGCAGGACCGCTCTGCCCTCCATCTACCTGGCGAATGTACAGTCTCTGCCCAATAAGACGGACGAGCTCCTGTGTCGTATCCAGTGCCAGCGAGAGGCCCGAGACTGCACGAACGAACGTCCCGGACTCTGCTGTTCAGCCCCCGGGATTCACCGTTCACCGCGCGGACAGAGAAAAGGAGACCACGGTGAAATCCAGAGGTGGAGGTGTGTGCTTTTTAATTAATCAGCGCTGGTGCACGGATACTCGCATCGTGAACCAAACATGTACTGCCAATCTGGAATGCCCTTTTTATCTTCCGCGGGAGTTTTCTGTTATATTTTTATGCGCTGTTTACATCCACCCACGAGCGGACTATACTGTAGCACTACAGGATCTGACCGAGATCCTTCATAAATACGAGACTGCTCATCCTAATGCAGTGATCATTGTCGCTGGGGATTTTAACAAATGTAATTTAAAGACTGTACTCCCAAATTTCTACCAACATGTGACTCGAGCTACAAGAGGAGCACAGATCCTGGATCACTGCTACAGCAATGTGAAGGGAGCTTACAGGTCCAGTCTCAGACCTCCATTTGGAAAGTCCGACCACTCCTCTGTTCTCCTTCTTCCCTCATACACTCAGAGGAGCAGGGAACATAAACCAACCTCACGCACTGTGCAGTGTTGGTCCGAGGAGGCTAGCATGAAGCTACAAGGGTGTTTTGATGCCACTGACTGGTCTGTGTTTCAGTCAGAGGATGTTAATGAATTCTGTGACGCTGTGACTGGATACATACGCTTCTGTATTGACTGCTGTGTCCCACAGAAGGTCATTAAAGTACATCTCAGTCAAAACCCTTGGATGAACGCGGAAGTGAAACAAAAACTTCATGAGCGTGTTCTGGTGTTTCAATCTAACGATACAGTTGCCTATAAGCTATCCTGTTACGCATTGAAACGTTCTATTAAATCTGCAAAGCGCAGTTACGGGGACAGGTCAAAGGGTTATTTCAAGGAAGATGACCCTCGGCGCATGTGGAGCGGTATTAAAGCCATCACGTCCTGGAAACCTAGTGCTGGGAAAATCGGATCTGTTGGCCCAGCTCTGCCTAATGAGCTGAACTCGTTCTACTGCCGCTTCGAATCTGCTGATGGCTGTCCTACTGTCTTTCCTGATTGTCTCAATCAAGGTGCGTTCACCGTGACTCAGGAGGTAGTTCAGCGGGTCTTGTCCAGCACCATTGTCCGGAATGCCCCTGGCCCGGACGGCATCCCACCCCGTGTCCTGAAACTGTGCTCTGAGCAACTTGCCCCTGTTTTAACAGACATTTTTAACCTGTCGCTAAGGAACTGTACTGTGCCGAACTGCTTCAAAGAGTCGACCATTATCCCAGTTCCTAAGAAAACTCCTGTGACATGCCTGTTGTTTTTCGTCTGGGATTCACTTGCCACAGTGAAATATGATCGGCAAACACTTCTGCACATTCGGGATCTGATGTTGTTTCTGTGAGCACTGGTTCTCCTCAGGGATGTATTTTGAGTCCTCTGCTCTTCACTTTGTACACTCACGATTGTGTGTCCTCCTCTGACTCAAACTTGATCATCAAATATGCTGATGACACCACCATCATCGGTCTCATCAGTAACAATGATGAATCCTCTTATAGAGCAGAGATACAAAATGTGGTTCAGTGGAGTAAAACTAACAACCTCCAGTTGAACGCATGTGAACTGGTCTACGACTTCAGTCGCAATAGTTCTCATTTGCCTGTCGTAATCGACAACTCCCAGGTACAGATCGTAGAGGAGTGCAAGTTTCTGGGTTTAACTCTATCTAACGACCTGAAATGGGTTAAAAACACTGACCGAGTTGTTAAGAAAGCTCGTCAGCGTCTCTACTTTCTGCGTAAACTTAGAGAATTTACCACTAACTCTAAGATTCTGCTTAACTTTTATCGCTGCACCATTGAGAGTTTACTTGTTGGTTCTGTGTCTGTGTGGTTTGGAAACATCACAGATAAAGAAAAGAGATCTTTAAACAAGGTGCTCCGCTCTGCAAAGAGGACCGTGGGCTGTGAGCTTCCTATTCTGGAGGTTCTTTATAAATCCAGACTTTTAAACAAAGCTCTTAGGATTGTCAATGACTCTTCTGGCCACCCTGGGAAAGCCATGTTCCAGCTTCTTCCCTCTGGCAGAAGATATCGCTCTCTGAGATGCAGGACATCTCGTTACGCTAACAGTTTTTATCCACAAGCTGTTATCAGTGTGAACAGAGCACTTTAATGATTTGCACTTGTTTTGAACTGTTTTAGTCGATCGATTTCACAGTGACATTTGTTTACTGTTTTATTTGTTTTATTTTTGTCTTTTAATGTTGTTTTATGTCTGTATTTGTCTGTGCACACTGGAGACTTTTGCTAATGTATTCCAATGTGGTTTTTTTACTGAAAATGGCAAATAAACTGAATCTGAATCTTAATGACTATTGTCCTGAGGCCCTCACTTCTGTCCTAATGAAGACTATTGAGCGGCTTGTGTTGGACTTCATTGAGAGCCAGATCCCTGTGAGTGTTGACCCACTCCAGTTCGCTTACAGACAGAACAGGAGTGTGGAGGATGCCATCTCCTTTGCTCTGAACTCTGTCTACAGTCACTTGGACAATAGTAAATATGTTGCAAGAATGCTGTTCATTGATTATAGCTCTGCTTTTAATTGTCTTGTCCCAGGTATACTGATTGAAAAACTCATGTCTCTCGGCTTAAGTGTTGCCATGTGTAAATGGATCTATAGCTTTTTAACAGACAGATCTCAGAGAGTGAAAATCAATGACTGTTTTTCAGATGTTGTTTCTGTGAGCACTGGATCTCCTCAGGGATGTATTTTGAGTCCTTTACTTTTTACACTGTACACTCATGATTGTGTGTCTTCCTCAGACTCTAACCTGATCCTTAAATATGCTGATGACACCACCATCATCGGTCTCATCAGTAATAACGATGAATCGTCTTATAGAGCCGAGATCCAAAACGTGGTTCAGTGGAGTAAGGCTAACAACCTCCAGCTGAACGCATCCAAAACATGTGAACTGGTCTTTGATTTTAGTTGCAATAGTTCTCATTTGCCTGTCGCAATCGATAACTCCCAAGTGCAGATTGTAGAGGAGTGTAAGTTTCTGGGTCTAACTCTGTCTAATGACCTGAAATGGGTTAAAAACACTGACCGGGTCGTAAAGAAACCTCGTCAGCGTCTCTACTTCCTGCGGAAACTTAGAGAATTTACCACTAACTCTAAGATTCTGCTGAACTTTTATCGCTGCACCATTGAGAGTTTACTTGTTGGTTCTGTGTCTGTGTGGTTCGGTAACATCATAGATAAAGAAAAGAGAGCTTTAAACAAGGTGCTCCGCTCTGCTAAGAGGACTGTAGGCTGTGAACTTCCTGTCCTGGAGGCTCTTTATCAATCCAGACTTTTTAACAGTGCCCTGAGAATTATCAATGACTCTTCAGGCCACCCAGGAAAAGCCTTGTTCCAGCTTCTTCCCTCTGGCAGAAGATACTGTTCTCTTAGATGCAGGACATCTCGTTATGCTAATAGTTTTTTTCCACGAGCTGTTATCAGTTTGAATAGAGCACTTTAATGTTTTTGCATTTGTATAGATCTGTTTCAGTTGGTCAACTTCACAGTGACATTTGTTTACTGTTTTTAAAATTTGTTTTATTTTTGTATTTTAATGTTGTTTTATGTCTGTACTTGTCCTGTGCACACTGGGAACTTTTACTAATGTATTCCAATGTAGTGTTACTGCAAATGGCGAATAAAAGGAATCTGAATCTGAATCTGAACTCGCCTATGGGTGGGACAGCTAATAGCTAGTAATACCCTATCCAGTTATTATTTTTCCTCACTTCTTGTCCGTCCATTGTCTCTACCACACTTGTTCCTGTCTTGTTTTCAGTTCTGGAATTTTGTGTTTCGTTACTCTGGATCTCGATGCTATCAAATCCTGCATTTTGAGTTCCTTTGTTGCAATACATGTTATAGCAGTCGCATATCACACAGTCCTCATTAGGGAACACTTCAGTCATACACAGTTTGTGTCTGTGTCTTATAAGGAAGCACAAAAATCTGCATTGCATCAGAGACTACTAACTACCATTAGACTACAGTCCAGGCTGAAATATTAGAATGTTTGAGAAAGGAACCCTGACTATCCCCCCCTCACAAATCTGGAATGTATATTTCAAATGACTGCCTTCAAAAAGTTGCCTAGCCAAAGACATGCAAAATTTGGCTAAATGGCATGTCTGGCCCTTGTTTCATTCAAAATGATTTCCAAAAAAAATCAAATCTGATGATACAATTATAACTAATTGCATAGACTGGACAGAACATTTCTTTGTATAAAATAGGAAACTAGAAACAGAAACTACTCTCTTGTACAGCTTGTTTTGAGAGCCTGGAATGTCAGTTTGAAATCAGAAAGTGCAGATGTGAATGTACCTGATCCGGGCAGGGGACAGCGCTCGCAGCCGTGTCCCCAAGCCTTTCCCACTCGGCTGCAGCAGCAGATCTGCTTTGTGATGTGCTGTGACAGAGGCAGAGAACACGTGGCCGAGGACAGCGACCTATAGCACAGGCCCTTCAGGTCGGACACGGCCTTGTCAGCTGCACACAACATCACGTGTTCAAAGTGCGTGGTGTTTCTGAAGAAGAGGCTTTGATATAGTACTTACAGATACAATGGCTCCGGGCCGGGTCCAGCATGAATCCTGGTTTACATGTGCACCTGTAGCTCCCTTTGGTGTTGAGACAATCTGCGTTCTTGCAGATCCCAGGAAGCATGCATTCGTTTATGTCTGTCAAATAAGCCACATGTTAACAAATCAGGTCTGGAATCTCTGAGAAATAATTGACTCAGTAAACAGCCACATCAAATCAATAACATCAGGTTTTTGCCATCTAAAAAACATTTTCAGAATCCAAAAATATAGAGTCTAGAGCAGACTTGGGGATTCTTATCCAGTAGGTGTAGCAGTATATTCAAAACATTGAAGCTCATATGTGATAGTACCAGGAAGTACTATCACATTAGTCCTGTTCTCTGCACTGGCTTCCTGTGGCTTACGCGCTGTGAACGCCTACTGTGTAAATTCCCTGTTAGTTAACACTGAAGAGTACAGGGACTGGTCTCCTGCTGGTGCCCAGGCGTCAGGACTACCCATGGGGAACCAGCAAATCTGGTCTTTCTGAAAATGTGAAACAGACTTCTACTCTGACAATGTTGAAATACAACTTTTTATGCACTGTGATTATTTATGACGACTTGTGTGGTTGTTTATATATTGTTTAGTTAAGCACATTGAGTTGCCTTGTGTATGAACTGTACTATACAAATAAACTTGCGTTTGCCTGTAATTATTTTGACAATTGATTTGTTGAGAGGTTCTTGTTGAGTTTGGGCATTTATGTCAGTTATCAATGATCAGTGAATTTGGGCTTTTTTTTACACTTGACCAAAGCAAAGAAAGATGAAGTGTTGTTGGTTAAAAGTACTTTCATTCTGAAGGAGAAGAGATTTTAAAAAAACAAATAAAAATAAAAGAACTTTTAAATAATTGACAACTAGTTGAATAATTGATGAGTAATCGATTCACTTGTTACAGCCCAAGACACAACATATTCAGGAATTTGAATTACATCATAATTCTTGAAACATTCTCAACTGCATTTGAACCGCTCCAGACCAGTTCATAAGAGAATGTATTGTTTGGTATATTCCATAAGGAGTATTCAGTTACAAGTTCTCTGCCACAAGAGCAGATGTCTTGTGATTCTTGAGACAAAAATCATTTGGACTTAAAAAGTTGACAGTCGATGAGTTAGTCCAAAACCTGCTGCATGAAAGCAATGAAATGTGAACCGCTACATTTGCACAAGAACAATAGTGATTGATGATGCATGATGCATCAATCACATCTTTGGAACAGAACAATTTACTGTACAAAAATATTCATCAATATGCATCAATGTGTGAAAGCGATAAAGCGCTGGGTACATAATACATAACTAGATACAGGGACTGTCAATTCCATACTATTCAATGCAATATACAGTATTCCTAACCAATATGATTCAGAAAGAATTAGAGGCTTTCGCCCACAATTAAACAAGATCACTAACACTATTGATGCATTTACATTTCATCCAAATATAAAAAAACTAACCAATACAGAATACGGTTATTCCTTACACAACGTACAGTCCACTTCACTCTTGCCACTCGTTTACTATGAAAAACTGACATACAGTCGAGATCCTACCCACTTGCTGCTAACCTAACAGCTAAGCTAATATAAATGAAAAAGACTGGTAACGGTTGCTAAGCATTGTGTCTTATGGTATGAGTACAAGCACGAGTACAAGCCTACGGTATCGATCCGATACCAGTATCGGGGCCTCCCATAAAAAAAAACATAACATCTGTATCAAAATAAGATAAGAGATCCTTTATCTATGAATGTAGTGCGGAGTTATATACCGTACATATAGAGCAGGATAATATATATTTTTAAAAAAAAGTCAATATAGTATTTATTATGTCCCTTGGCAAGACACCAAGGGAAAACCAAGGAAAAACCAAGGCTGTGTCTTCGTTGATGGAGAGGCCATATTCCCGAGCAGTGCTATGAGCATTGGGTGGCAGCTTTAATTGTCACACCCCCAACCCAGATATGGACTGATAAAGAGGATGAAAATGAATGAATGAATGAATGAACAAATAAATATTGTATCTACTTAATAAAAGCGTTGTGGGACGCTTGTGACAGATTCTGGCAGACGCTATCACGTTCTGGAGGCGCGTCACGCGCGTCCAGAACACTAGAGAACATAGTGTCTAAAGCAGACTTGGAGATTCTTATCCATGCATTTGTCTCCAGTAGGTTAGACTACTGCAATGGCCTGCTCACAGGTCTGTCCAAACAGGCTGTAAAACAGCTGCAGTACATTCAAAATGCAGCAGCTCGAGTCCTGACTAGAACCAGGAAGTACGACCATATTAGTCCGGTCCTCAGGTCTCTGCACTGGCTTCCTGTGGCTCAGAGAATAGACTTTAAAACAGCTTTGCTTGTGTACAAGTCTCTCCATGGCCTCGCACCAAAATATATTAGTGACATGTTAGTCCCATATGAACCAGCCCGGACTCTGAGGAGCACAGGGACTGGACTCCTGTTAGTGCCCAGAGTCAGAACTAAACATGGGGAGGCTGCTTTTCAGATTCATGCTGCTAAAATCTGGAACATTCTTCCTGAAGATGTGAGACAGGCCTCCTCAATGACTATGTTTAAAACCAAGTTAAAAACTGTGCTGTTTAGCTGTGCATACAACTGAGGGATTTTATATTTTTATCTTTCTTTTTAATGTTCTGTGATTATTTATGATTTTAATGCTATCTTGTTCAGCACTTTGAGTTGCCTTGTGTATGAATTGTGCTATACAAATAAACTTGCCTTGCCTTGCCTTGCCTTGCCTAGAGGACAGCGTTCTGGAGGCGCGTCAAACGCTAGAGGGAAGAGAGCATTTTGGGGCGGGGCTTCTCTGTTGCCAACACAAGAGCAGAGAGGAAGGACACAGCGGCAAAGATGGAAGGTAAAAAGTTTAAAAAACGCTTTAACTAGGATATAAAAGTTAATTCAAATAACATTTGAGGCAAGAAATACCCCCCTCTATTGTCATATCAGAGGTGTGCTTGGTGATAAAATAGAACATTGTTGGGCAGTGCTCAAGCCGAGAACAGAGCGTCAGAGTGTGGCGGGGACACATTGTAAACATCAGTGGAGCTCTCACAATTTTAATTCTGAAAACCCAAAGACGAGGCTTTTGTTACGGACTTTCTCTGTTATTATAACTATTTTATTGGCAGTAATCATTCGTTTTTACAAAGTGATATTTTATGTAAACAATGCACATATATGCAATAAATGATATATGAATGTTTGCTATGGCCCTCGTTTGTGCATCACTTACAAGTAATTTGTATCAGGCCTGACACTGTGCTGCAAGTCGTCAAGAATGGATCACGTTATGGAAGTAGTTTTGTTCATATCAACAGATTGAATCATGGTCAGTTTGATGCTTTCTCTGTGAAAATAACACATGGACCTTACAACACTGAAGTTAAATGGTTAGGGTGAGGTGCTGTGTTAAAGCTACCTAATGTACCTTTGTGAATAAATACCTAAAAACATAAATACTGTTTTGGGATATTTATGCAGAGAATCCTATGGTTCGGTCCCGCTGAGATCCATTTAGCTTGTATGTAGCCCCCAGACAAAAATGAGTTCCAAACCCCTGTGTTGAAGGAAGTGTGTGCGGAGAGAAAAGAGTGTTTAGTACTATCCCTGCGACTGGCAAATGATAAAGCAGAGGAAAAAGTATGGTGTATCTACTTAAAACGCTATATGCGACACATTGCCAAAATACTACACTATTAACATGCCGACCAAGGGCATAGGGGGCCATTCTTGATCCTCTTTGTCATGCAATCAATCACACCAGTCCAGGAATTAAGCAAAGTGTGTTGTTTTATCTGTGTAAAACAAAGAAAAACATCCTTAGCTCTCTACATTTGACAACCACCACACATTTCCACCATTTTAATTAATCAGCACTTGTTTGGCTGTTTCCTTTGTGCCTGGAAAACGTGATCTTGTAAAAGGCAGCAGTGAAGGCCGATAGTGAACCCAGATACCCTTGTGTTGTTTTCTTTAAAGAGAAGTGCTTTTGTTCTTTGTTTATTCGTGTTATTACGTTTATTGCATAGATTTGAAAAGAGTCAATTAGAGAGGGTATATTAAAATGGCTTTCAACATATTGGCGCAATGTGTCAAAGCAAAAACATGCCAGTTTCAATATAAACAAAAGTAGCCAGTCCGCTTGTTATTTGAATTGAGCAAGCACAAACATCCCTGATTGTTTAAAAGTTATGACATTAGGAAAAGCTTAGGTTTCTCTTTGGAAAAACTGTGGGAAATGAAAATTGTGGGAATGAAATATTTGATCAGGAGTCACTTGAGGTATTTTCTGTATTTAACAGGGTGGTGTAATCCCTCGTTTGTGCAGGACTGATCCTAATCTGATTTGAGATTGATTTCTGGATGGGACTCTAAATTACTCTATACTGAAAACTTTTGAAACAGTCTCTGCCAATTGTATTTTAGTAAATCTGTGTAAGGTTTTAGAGGTGAAAATACACTGGCATCATTCTGTAAATATATAACAAAATTACAGCCATACAAAAAGTAAATGTAAATGTAAAAGTAATTTGAAAACATTCCCCTAAACCTCCACCATGCACACCAAGCGTGTTTCACATGTAACCAACCACATGACCTGTCAATCAACATGACCAGTCTTTGTCTCACTTGTTCCATGATCAAGATACTGTAAAGAAAACAAAAAGGGTATATGGCTTTTTTTTTTTTTTTTTTACAACTACTTGAAAATGAATGTGTTTCTCAGTGCAATTTGAACAGATATGAAAACACATTCGAACTAGATTGCTTAGAAACAAAACAAAAAGTGTTGCAAAAAGAAGCCCTGAGGAAATATTTGGGGGAGAGAGAGAGAGACGCCTTAAGCCCAGAGTGAGTGGAGGGAGAGGTGTAGGGTTGGCGAGAGTTTGGGCCTGTGTCTGGTCCTAGTGTATTTTTGTAGTTGTTATTCTAAATCATCTTGTTGAGTGGATGAGGGGGGTTTGTAATTTTTATAAGCGTTTGATTCATTCAAACTAATTTTCAAAACAGTCTGCAATTCTTTTTTTTTTTGTTCTGCTAGGACATCTGTCTGCTTGTTGGACACAGAAAACATAGTAGTTAAGGTCAACTTTTGGCTCAGTCCTCGTCACATGGGGTCTGTAATCCATAGTCTGCAGTGAGTTCCAGATTAGTGCAGTTGTGGGAGTGTGGGACGACTGGGATTGAGACCCACTTCCACGACATGCTGTCACAATGGCTATACGTCAGGACATGTATTTTGAATGTATGCTTGAGCGCACTAAGCAACAGGAGTGTTTATGAACATGGAAAAGTCAAAAACTGACCTAACAAGACCCTTTAGAAGATTTAAAAACATGTGCACACAACTGCTCGGAAACAGCAAATGCACTGGGATAAATCTCTTCCAAAAATGAATATGGAATACATTTTAAGATATGCTAAATCCCAGATGCCGGAATGTTGACTTTGTCGTAAGCTTTGACTAACTTGATTCAAAAGTGTGTTATGTATAAAGTCCAACATTTATTCTTTGAAGTGGTTTATGAGTAATGTGCCCAGCTCTGGTCTCCAGTCTACCACCCACAAGTGGGAGTTTCATCCAGGAAGTTCTGCTACAAATGGTCAATTCAAATGCTCTGAGAAGCAGCTTGTGCAGATAAAGAGGCCGAGGGACCAGCATTAGGTTTTGAAAGGGGGACTTATCGCGTAGCTGTGGCCTTATGGGTCATAAAGCAATCAGGGAAAACACCATAATTCCTGTTTTGAACATGGGACAAGCTCTGAACGGGTCAATGTAGATTCCACAATCAAGCGAGACGTTTGAATAGCTATGAACAGATCCCAGCACAAGCAGCTTTTTGGATGGTTTCCGGCTCAATAGAACAGTGAGATAGAAAACTCTAAAGCTCTCTAGTAAACACTGTGGCTATGGATGCGTTGGGATCTATGGGAGCAGCAGTTGAGGGAAAACATCTTGAAACAATCAAATGAAAAGCACAAATAATACACGGACAAATCTTTTGGCAAGTTCCAAAGAAGAGTGGTGTTAGTGGAACAGTTGATCAGAGATCTCGCAGCTCGTTCACTTGATGGGCATAAAACTCTGGAATTGAGATTGAATGACATTGTTTGTCACGCTTGAACTCTCTGACCCGGCTTGGATTGGCCCCTGTGTACGGGGTCTGAGGGCGCCGCAATTCGGTTTAATTTGGATTTAATAGGATATCTGCCTGTTTTTGACTGCTAAAATGCATATAATATTGTCCCTCGTTACAGGAAGATGTGTTTTCTCCTTGCTGTGTCTTCCCTCCACTCTTATCTCACATTCCTCGGGCCAAGGCCATCATAATAAATCTGGACTCTACAACAATTTCACACTCTTTCAGTCAGTTCCAGCTTGGATCCCGCTCCCCCCGCCTCCCTCTTGATCTCTCCCTCCCCTCCCCTCCTCACTGTGTTTCCGGCTCACCCCCTCCCTGACCCCGCCCCCCTCTGACAGCCACATTGGGCCGGCTGCTGAAGGTGCTCATCCCGAAAAAAAATCCGTGGTTTATACAAAGCACAATGTTTTCTATCCAACTGTCTGTTGTAACCTGTATGTTATTGCTCTCTGCTGTTTATTCTACTGTTTGTCGCATGGCGCCGGAAAAGATGGCGCCGTGGCAAGAGCTCTGGTGTGTGTCGTCTCTGTCTGGCGCACACCGGGGTAGTCTTGCACAGTTTTTCCAATGTGGTTTTACTGCAAATGGCAAATAAATGAATCTGATCTGATCTGAAGTTGATGCTGACAATAAGTGTCCTTGTTTGCGGTTAAAAAAGCAATACTCGTTCTATATTAAAATAGTATAACAAAATAAATTCTAATTGGATATAGATGATATTACTCATTCATCAAGAGTAGATGATGCTCTTAGTATGGGTTTTATGTGATTATTTATGCCTTATGTGATGTGGACTGTGAAGCCTTTTGTGTTGCCCTCCATAGGAAAGGAACTCAAGAAATCAAGATTGATTGATCAATTGTATAATAGAAACAATGTCAACAGTTAAAATGGAAACATGCTATGCAATATTGTAAATACTTCATCCAGAGTGATCATGGGCCTCTTGGCTGCATCTCTGATCAGTCTTCTCCTTGTTTGAGATGACAGTTTGGAGGGACGGTCGGGTCTTGGTAGATTTGCAGTGGCCTGATTCTCCTTCCATTTCAATATAATTGCTTGCACAGTGCTCCTTGAGATGTTTAAAGCTTGGGAAATCTTTTTGTATCCAAATCCGGCTTTAAACTTCTCCACAACAGTATCTCGGACCTGCCTGGTGTGTTCCTTTGTCTTCATGGTTCTCTCTGCGCTTTAAACAGAACCCTGAGACTATCAAAGAGCAGGTGCATTTATACGGAGACTTGATTACACACAGGGGCATTCTATTTATCATCATCAGTCATTTAGGACAACATTGGATCATTCAAAGATCCTCACTGAACTTCTGGACTGAGTTTGCTGCACTGAAAGTAAAGGGGCCGAATAATATTGCACGCCCCACTTTTCAGTTTTTTATTTGTTAAAAAAGTTTAAATTATCCAACAAATTTCATTCCACTTCACGATTGTGTCCCACTTGTTGTTGATTCTTGACAAAAAAATACAATACGTTGGTACATTAATCATGTGCAATATTTAAATTGTTGATAACGATATCTTAGAACATTTTATTAACTAACATTTCATAATAATCTTTGTACAAATTAAACACTCAATTCAACTTTAAGATAATTTTCCCAGTTAAAGAGCTGAAATGTGTTTGATAAATGTACTATAATATTACAACGATAGCTTACCATGACAGTGTGTGAGATTGAGTCTTTTATAACCTTTGGAACATTCCACTTGACCGTTGGCAATCACTGCATATGCTGCAAACAGAAAAACAAAACCCAATGAAAAGCCACAAAACAGAACTACACATTGTTTGCATAGAGATATTTTTTGCTGTATTTTCTGCAGGAGATGCTTTAGCAGTTGCACTATAACTTACAGATGTGAACAACGTGAAAGATGAAAGTTAGGGGGATCCACGACCGGGCCCCCGGGGGAACGCTAGGCGCAGTGTATGGAAATGGATCACTATCAAACAAAGACACCACTGCCATCCCGCATAATGTAAAGACAACACTCAACGTCATCTATAATTATATTACCTCCAGCTCTCCTCGCACCCCAGAGACACATGAAGGAGTGCTTACATCATAAATATGTGGAGGAAAACGACGTGACAGGCCTAACCGTAATCATTACCTCCAGCATAAATCTACTTTAACAAGAAACTAATGTGTCCTCTGAACACTAAAAAACTCTTTCTTCTGAAGCAATAAATATGATATGAGCTTAAGGTGCGTTCTTCTAAGGACCTCCTGTAAATACCCGAGGTGACCATACTCTTTCACTCTGCACCAGCACAAGGCCATTTGCCCCATTAACTGACCACCACAGAGATAGATGTTAGTAATAATAATCTTTCATTTTAATTTGAGATCTTTAAGGTCTTCAAAAAAATATATATAGAAAATTCTCTGTTGGAATGAGAAATGAGACCAAACAACTCACAAAATGCAAGATAATATTTATGTGTTTATTTCGAACCTGCAAAATACAAATTTTGTATACACATCAATATAACATAACTTGTACCTGGTTCGAATGGAGGTTAGATGAAGCAGATGCTTATTTGATTCCAACCCCCATCACACATACACTGTTTTAACATGCACTAAATTCTGGTACAGCGCAAACAGTAATATAATACTACCACTGCTGGTATAAGACAGACAACATACAGACCAAACACTCTCTGACCATACACCTCTCTCCCAATACTTGCTCTTTAGATCAATGCAAGATGAAAACCACTCAATTCAAGCAATGACTAACTTTAGTTTTATCTTTTCTCTTCAGAGAGTGCCTACTTTTGGTTCAAAACAGTAGCCATGCCAGCATGTGTAAAAACAGTGGTAAGAAAAAGGCAACAATGTGACAATAATTCTAAAAGAAAGTGATCTGGGTCCAATTTAAATAGTTTGTTCTGCCATTACAAGTGGAAAGCATTACACTTGCTCATTCAGTTTCCCATTTTGAACAAACAAACAAGTCAAACATGCCGTTTATGCAGACAAAACGAAAATCCACAATTTGAACAGTATTTGTGTGGTTTTCTGATAATGCTGTTTCAGCTACAGTTGAACCTGATGAAATCTCACACAACAAAGACACAAAGTTAATCTTTTACTTGTTACATTTTACAAGGAGAATGTCTTGACAGAGGCAAGGCACAGACCCCAGCCTCTCTCAGGACAAGTCTCAACATCCACAGATGGCAAGCCCCTTTTGGTTGAGCAAGACACACCTTCGTATGCAGATGGGAAAGGAAGAAACCAACACAACAAAAGGACAGTGAGACATTAGCATCCTGAAAACCTGCTTCCTCCTGGCATCTGCATACAACCCCCAAGCACTCTGAAGTCAACAGTGGATTACAATACAGACAGTATAGAATTCAGCCACAAATGATTTACCAAAATGATAACTTAAATTACATTCCAATATCATTTTCCCAGCGTCTGGAATGTGTGCCACACAGAGCTGGTGGGAAAGAGGTCTGCAGACTGTGCTGCTGATGTGGTCCTGCTGAGACCGAATGGAGCAAGCCGTCATTTCACCTGGAGCTCTACGGGGGAGAACTAGGTCAGCTTCAACGGGGCTGGCCATATCAAAGGCCTGGCTTGCTGTTGTCTGCTCACCTCCTCCTCGTCCACTCAGGGCAGGTGGGGTAATGAGCTGTTGTGGTTGGGACTGGGGCTTCGGACCCCTGTGAAGGTGGGATCAGGACCAGTCTGGGGTATGCCAACATAAGCCTGCATTCAACTCAATGAAGCTTATTACCAAGAGCCAAATCTCAGGTCACTCATTCCAATGATGGACATACGTAAATACAGGTGAAATCAATGTTTTTCATTATATTGTAAATAATTTACTTTTACACCAACCTTTTACACCACCATCCTATCATTTGTACACAACCAACACAAAAGAAAATTTAGTCAAATAACAAATATTCAAATCATTACAACTTTTTTGAAAGAGCAGAGAGAAACCACAGGATTACGCTAAACTTCAAGTACAGCGCTTCAGGAATTGTAAAGTTAAATATTACCCTTTTTGCTGATATATTTGAATCCATGAAATGCAATGTAAGTTGTGTATATTGAGTCTTAAATTATGATAAATAATGAATATTGAGGGTATATTTATGAGCCTCTAATGACATTTCTCAGTGGCCTCAGCTCCATGGGCCTGTGGTCATGTTTTACGATGTGCTAGTTCCCATGCCTGCTGCTTTGGGCATTTGCGTAGACAACGTGGCATTATGGAACCAGCGGCTTGCAACACTGATCTCAAGTTGTGCATCATTAGGGTTGTCTGTGGTTACAAAGAGTTTAGCAACAGATCAGCCTGACAGTCAGACAGAAGCATCCCAATCAGGTTTGTCCTCTTTTTACAAAGAGCACTGAATATTCTATTGTCCATCTCCATTGAATTGTGTCTGGGATTTCATTGGCACTGGCTCAATAATATTTAGCCAAAGGCTTCCACCAACTCCAATGTCCAAGGAAGTAGTCATTAATTGGTTTGTTGCCAGCATCTTCATTCATTCAGACTAAACTCTTAAAGTTTTATTTCACAATGACTGGAATAAATAGGATTAAGCCCAAGACAAAAATAGCAGACCATGAAAAAGGATACTTTTTCCACTCCGTATATAAGTCATTTATAGTTAATTTGGTACAATCCTGCAGACCACCATCAGGGCTGATCTAGTCCATCAATCACAAGGAAAGTGAGCTGTTTACCAGCCTCTCTGGACTCTGATGACCTGACAAGTGTGAGACGAAAGGGAGCCAGCCACACAGACCAGAGGGCAGGACAGCGCACTTCTGTGCCATTGGGAGCCAGTCCAGCCACTGTGCCAGGACCTCTTCAGGATCATTTCCATAAATCACTCCCCCACAGTTCTATTGAACAGCGCTGCCATAGAAAGGGCAAAAGAGCACTAATTACGGACCATTGTAAATCATTCCTTGCGTCGCCTTTATTCCAGTGCCTGATTAAGAGACAGTTCAGGATAAATTATTTTCTTCAGTTTATGGCATTTGGCATTCAGACTTGGCTTGAAACTTAGAAGCACTTGGAAACACTTTTTTTGTGTGGTTAAAATAGAACAGAACAAGCTCCATAAAATACATCACATATAGGCCACACATACAAAATCTAACATATAAATATGTTTTATTTTTTTATTAAATGTATAAACGATAATGTTAGGGCCGACATTAATAAACAAATAAATATATATAGATAGATGTACTGTATATGGAGATCAATAAAGTATGAAGTGAGCTGGATGGCTGAGTTGGTAGGGCGCAGGGCTGGAACCTGAGAGGCCAGGGTTCGAATCCGACCGGAGACCAGAGTTAAAATCCCATAATGCTACTGCCTAACTCATAACCATGAAGTCACAAATAAGCAATGAGATGCCGGATCAGCCGTCGCCTGGCCAAGCAAGGTCTGCGTCAGGTGCTGGGGAAGCAGAGCACCTTGATGAAAAGTGGGCTACTGGAACAAAGTGAAAGTGTGCCAGATGCATTAACAGGGCTTTGTTGGAATGCTACTACTCGAGTAACCCTGAATGCTTACTTAGAAATTCACAGTCACAGTTGACCCCGAAACAATTAGTAGCTCAATGCTGAAACATCCACAATTGGATGTCTGCCACAGATGCCATAGTTGCTGACGTCAGAGAGGAGCTCCCACCAACACAGCCATAACAGCAGTGCACAATGGCTGGTGTCCCTGAGAAAGGAGACCTACCATCACAGAGGCTATGGATGTTAAAACTCGAAAGCTCCTCACCGGGTTGCATGGCGGGTTCCATCCCAAATCCAGGACCCTGACACTGTACGTAAGCCGTATAAAAGGAGGCCGCAGACTAGTGAGTGTGACTAGTCCGGGACCAGGAAAACATCCAAACTCCATAACTACATCATGGAGACGTACTCAGTGAATCTCTCAGGCAGTGGCGAGATGAGGAAGTGCTGGAGGAGAGCCCATCATGGGAGGACATGTACCACCGGAGCATAGCAGAAGTGGCTGATCTCAAGAAGTCCCAGATATACCACACCAGACAATCTTGTCCCAAGGTGTCGGTTGTGCAAAGAGGCACGTGAGACGAGAACCAAGTGGCTGGCATAGTGGCATCTGTGCAGCATGGGCTGGAAACCCATAGTGGGAAACTCCTCCAAAGGTGGTGGAGAATGAGCGTGTAAATATCCTGTGGGACTTCCAGATACAGACCGACCAAATGATAATAGCGAACCAACCTGACATCGCGGTGGTAGACAAAGGGCAGAAGAAAGCTGTGGTGGTGGAAGTGGCAATTCCAAGCGATGGTAACATAAGGAAAAAGAACATGAAAAGCTTGAGAAATACCAAGGGCTCAGAATGAAGCTGGAGAGGGCCTGGAGGGTAAAGGTGCCTTTGGTGATCGGTGCACTCAGGGCAGTGACCCCGAAGCTGGAGGAGTGGTTACAGCGGATCCCAGGAACAACCACGGAAATCTCGGCCCAGAAATGTGCAGTGCTTGGAACAGCAAAGATACTGCGCTCTCTGGCAAACTTCAGACGGGCCTGGACATGCACTGGCTTCAGCGGGGGACACGTCTGGCACTGCAGGATTTGATTCCCTGTCGTTGTAGTGTGTTACTGATGGTAACCTTTGTTACTTTGGTCACAGCTCTCTGCAGGTCATTCACCAGCTCCCCCCGTGTGGTGTTGGGATTTTTGATCACCATTCTCATGACCAT